GTCAGTGCAAGGGATAGAACTGGGCCTTTCTTATGCTAGGCAAGTGTTCTGTCACTGAGCTATAATAGCCCTTGATTCAACATTTGTTTGTTTGTTTATTATATTTTTGAGATGGTAGGTCTCCCTGTAGCCCCAGCTGCCCTGGAAATCACTATATAGACCAGGCTGGCCTTGAACTCACAGAGATCTGCCTGCCTCTCCCTCAGTGCTGGGATTAAAGGTGTGTGCTACCACACCTGACTCTTTTTTTTTTGGAGGGGATAAAAATTCATTCTGGAGCCAAATATGAGTGACTGAGGCTCAGGAACACAGATTCAGGTTACCCCAAATTCCATGTTCCAGTGTGGAAGCAGTCATAAATCAAGACACTTTTCAAATACATTTAGGAGGCAGGTCATAGCAAGTGAGGGGTGATATTATTATAGGTCTCTGTGCTATCTGATGACATTCTTAGCCCTTTGATTGGTGGGAATGAACTGTCTCTTTGTTAAGCTAATACATTCTATTGCTCACAGATGTTAGGGTAAGAAACAGAGGTAGGCAAGGAGTTGCTACTTACTGCTAAAGATAGCCTGGTAAATAAGCTCTGGATCAGCAACTTTTCAAACTCTTCAGTCATTGAAGTGTTAATCAGTTGGTCAGCCTTGCAGGAAGTTCAGTTCTAGATGCAGGATTTTTCTGGAAACTTTCTGTTCTCAGTCCTGTTGGCCAGGCATCACTTTTTGTGCGTACAGGGGTTCCATATTTATTCCCAGATTGCTAAAGCTCATTCTTAGAATCTCATGTAGATGAGGCTCAGTTGTAGGTAAGATGGGAGAGAGGAATAGCTAGCTACCTGGTAAAGCCAGTAAGAAAGAAATTCATGGATCATATGAAAACTACTAGCCAGGCTTTTCTTTTTTAAAGTAATCTCATAGCTAAGATTCTTTAAGTTTATTGCCATTCTTTTTATTTTTTTCTGTTTATTTTACTTTTTTTTTTTCTTTTTTTCTTTTTTTTGCCTTTTTGAGACAGGGTCTCCCTGTAGCCCCAGCTGGCCTGGAACTCACTATGTAGACCAGGCTGGCCTCGAACACACAGAGATCCACCTGCCTCTGCCTCCCAAGTACTGGGAGTAAAGACGTGTGCCACCACACTTGGCCTTGTTTTCTGTTTAATTTATAATGTAGGCAAACTACCACATTTGGTACAGAGCAGTAACTATTAAAACCCTTTTTAAAATAAGTTTTTTACATTTATTTGTGTGTGTACATGCATACACTCATCCCACAGCATCGTGGGAAGGTCAGAGAACAACCTGCGGGAGTTAACTCTCTCCTTCCACCAGGTGGTTCCAGGGGTAGAACTCCATTGTTAGACTTGGCGGCAAGTGCCTTTACTCATTGGACCATCTCGCCTGCCTTTTAAAACATTGATTTTTTTGCTGTGTTTCTTGGAGATAGGGTCTTACTGTGCCTCAGACTCTCCATCCTTCTGCCTATGAGTGCTGTGGTTAGGAATACAAAATACACCTTGCATCTTTTTTTCTTTTTTTTGTCTTTTTTGAAACAGGGTTTCCTTGGAGGCCCCAGTTGGCCTGGAACTCACTATGTAGACCAGGCTGGCCTTGAACTCACAGAGATCCACCTGCTTCTGCCTCCTGAGAGCTGGGATTAAAGGCATGCATCACCACAACCTTGCATCTTTTCTTAATTAGTTTATAATCATCTTAGAATTTTACCTCTGAACTGCTTGCAACAGGGGTAGTGAGTCATAATTTAATCCTGCGGAATGTAGTAGTTACTTTACTATAAGCTAAATTTTCAAAATATTTTATTTGTTTGTTTTTTAGGAGACCCCTGTTTTTACAGAATTGAGCAGAGAAAATGATGAAGAGAAAGGTTGTTTGCATTTTCCTTCTTTTTGAACTTACGTCTTCTTTTGTATTGACTTTGCTAAAAGCTGACAAGATGCTTAGGAAGAAGATATTTACTCTGTCAGGGTTGTGTTGTTCTTATCTATAAAATAGAAAAGGAATACTATGAATCAGATGGAACGTCTTCCACCAAAAGTAAGGAACTTGAAGAAAAAATTAGGCTAAATGGTACGGAAATATCTCCATAGTAAGAGTCCCAGAGGTGAGGTGGCCCGCAAACATTTTGGATGCACTCCAGGATCACATCCTGACATTTCCAAAGGATTGTGGAGAGCATCTCTTCTAGAGACCCCTTAGGAGCCAGGAACCTCCAGGAAGATACCTCTTCTAGTGCACTTCACTGGGCAGAGCTGTGTTATGCTCCCACCTTGAAAGCAAGCCCAGGGTTTTGCCTGATTATGTTAGAAAACGAGAATTTACCCCAGAGCTGAAGATGGTGGTATATCAGCAATGGTGTGTAAGGCTCTGCCTGTTTCCAGCACCTCCCAAGGCTGTTACACGGGAATCTGTAGCCTCAGAACAAGAGCGGATAGCCTCATTGATTCTAAATGGATGTGGTGGCACAGGCCTCTGCCCAACGCTAGGAGGCTGAGGCAGAAAAAGCTTGAGTTTCAGGCCAGCCTGGGCTTCATAGTGAGACCCCCCCACTCAAAAAATAAACAACTTTTGAATTCCTTTGTTACCACCTGTAGGATTTTACCTGAATTTTATAATTTCCTTTACATTTAGCTATATATGAAATATTTTTTTCTTGTAGTTACATTTAATCTGAATAAAGGAGCGTGTAGCTCAGCAGGAGCAACGGCTTCTAAGTCCAGGTGAGTCACAAGGGCATCCTCCAACTTCAGAGATTTGAAATACTGACTGCTGTGGCATGTACTGTGACTCCTGTTTCCTGGTTGGACTCTCTTCATTTGGTTGTTGTTGGCTGGGGTTGTATTACATTTGCTTTTAGCAGTACTAATTTCTTACTTCCCTGTAGTCAGATGATTCCATCTTTGGAGGACATTGTATTTATATGAAATGGGTTCTGTCTGTGTTGCCCAGGATAACCTCAGTTGATCTCCCTGCTCCAGCTTTCCATGTAGCTGGGACTCCAGAGGCACCCTACCTTACTCAGCTCAGAAAGGCTCATTCTGATTAAAGTCTTCATGTAGACAAGCTTGCAGTTCTCTAGGAATCCCTCTCCATTGAATGGTTCTTTTTTTTGTGGGGGCTGGAGTGTTGAGACAGGGTCTCCCTGTAGCCCCAGCTGGCCTGGAACTCACTATGTAGACCAGGCTGGCCTGGAACTCAGAGATCCACCTTCCTCTACCACCTCTGAGTGCTGGGATTCAAGGTGTGCGCCACCACGCCCAGCTTGAATGATTCTTCTGTTACTGTAGTACTACTGTTTGCTGCTGCATTATAGATGGACATTTTCTGTTTTACCTGCTATATTACATTTTCTGAACATAGAGACTAAATTATTAACCTATCTGATCAGTCAGAATAGTGTAAGTTCCCAGAGAATCATGACATATTTGTTTGTGTGTGTGTATTCATATTCATATGGGTATATGTGCATATATGTGCACGTGCATGTAGAGGTCATAGGTCATCCTTGAATGTTGAGCCATGTACCTTGTTTTTTGTTTGGTTTTGTTTCTTACATTTTGTGTGCAGTGGGGGCTGGGGGAGATACATATGTGCCTTGGTGCACATGTGAAGGACTGAGGACAAATCTCATGAGAGTCAGCTCTCTCCTTCCACTGTGTGAATTCCAGGATTGAACTCAGGTCCTTAGTCTTGGCGACAGGCACCTTTACCATATAAGCCATCTTGCCAGTCCCCACCTTTTTTTTTTTTTTTTTTTGGAGACAGGGTCTTTTATAGAGTAGGCTGGCTGGTGTGGGGCCCCAGGATTCACCTGTCTATATTCCACAGGGCTGGGATTACAAGCATAGGCCACCACACTTGGCTTTTCTACATGAATTCTGGGCATTAAACTTGGATCCTCATGCTTACATGGCAAGCACTTTACAGACTCAGCTCAAGAATAACCCTAGCCAGGCATGGTGGTGCATGTCTTCAGTCCTAGCACTCATGAGGCAGAGACAGGCAGGTCTCTGAGTTCAAGGCCAACTTGGTCTACATAGTGAATTCCAGGCAGCCAGGGATACACTGTGAGACCTTGACTCAAAAAACAAAAGAATAACCTAGCCGAAAAAAATAATGCTCCTGGGAGCAGTGTAGCTGTGCAGTGGCAACACGTTATCCTAAACTGTGAGGCTCTTCAAGGAGATTGAAGCAGGGGACGTAGTGAAAGGCCAGAAGGAGGAAGAGTGCATAAAGAGTGTGAAAAGAATCGTTGCTGATCACAAGGTGGTGCCTGTCCAAGGATGGACAGTGGCCAGCAGATGTCCTTGTAGAAGCAGCTTTTGTACCAGGTGGTGGCAACTTTTCACAGGGTCATGGTTCTGGCAGTTTCAATGCTCATTTTATCTGTCAAGCATGTGTGCAAACCCTTCATGAACACAGGGCTTGGTTTAGTTCTTTCTTGTGGTTGACGCACTGACTGCAACACTCACACCCTTCACTCTCGTCTGTCACTTCTAGCTGTGGGTGGATGTCACCACTGGTTGGCCTGCTGGTTGGCCCAGCATCTCAAATGATTGCTCTCATAGTGGCTTCATTCTTCATTCTCTTCTGTCATTTGTTTTTCTAGATGGATGTCAAGATTGACTCTGCCCATAATTGATTACTCTCATAGCAGTTTCCATCGCTACTGAAATAGGTTACCATTGATGCTGTGGGTTACGACAACAGAATTATGCCCATTTCTGGAGGCTAAATTCCCACATCACTGTTACCAAAAGCCAAGTGTTTTCAGGGATGTGCCCCCCCCCAGAGATTCTGGGGGAAGAGCTACCTTCTGCCTCTCCCAATGCCTGTTGGCATTCCTTGCTGTGGTTGCACACTTCCAGTGTTCAGGACCAAGCTCCTCAAGCTTGTGTCTTCACATCACCTTCTCTTCCACATGTCCAGTCTCCTTGGGCCTCATTCGTAAAAGAGAGTGGGCATTAAGAACCCATTCGGGGTGATCTGCCAACTCAGAGTCTTTAACTTGGTCTGATTTGCCAAGATTGCCCATGCCAACAGGGTGACCTTTGCAGGTTTCTGGGTTGATTGCCTTGTATCTTTCAGGATCTTTTTAGCATGCCATTATGTCAAGCATTGATATCATTAGTAAAGTTGTTAGATGTATCTGCGTCATTCTGTCTCTGTCATACATATTAACACATAACTCATGTCACAGAGAATGTGACTGACTTATCTAAATGTTTTTTTCTCTGAGGTTATGGTGTAAGTTTATGGGTAAGGCTTATTCTGTTGATTTATGATGCTTCTTGTAGATCTAAACCTAGAAGGCACTAAGTGATACCAATATCAGTAGATGTGAAATGAAGCATCAGTGGCAGGTTGCCTGGGGTGTGTGGACGAAGTTGGGGTGAAAGCAAGAGTGGTCTTTGGGTGACAGTTGCATATTGGCACTGAAGAATTTAGAGTGCGCCCTACCAACGCTAGGCAATCAGGAGCAGTAAGTGGTGTGTTGACATCTTTAAAAACACAGACCAGGGCTGGGGGTATAGTTCAGTGATGGAGTGCATGTCTACCATTCTCAAGACCCTGCATTCAGTCACCAGTACACACACACGCATACACACACACACACACAACTGGATAACAAACAACTGACAGCAATCACTTGCCTGCTACCATTCTTTTTTCTTTTAAACCTCATTTAATCCTTGCAGTTGAGCAGGATCATATTACTGCCCTGACGTATAGAAGCCTAAAGGTCCTAATGAGAGTAGCTGCTTCCTTGATCCTCCCAACCCTGAAGCCTAGAGCACTGTCACCCTGCTTACTGACGTATTGCACCAGCTGAAAGGAGGAAGAATGAGGCGAGTTAAACAGGCAGGTGCAGTGTTCACAGTGCTGCTAGTGAGAGCTACAGACAGGCCCTTGTTTTGACCCGTTGGCCCCTGGTTAACTGCAGTATTTATCCTGTACTGTTGCACTGCATGTTATAAGTCAGACATTTGTCTGTGTGTAGTTCTTACGACCCAGTCCATTTCTTCTGTCACCAGTTCTTTGGGACCAAGTGCACTGAAGACTCTAGGGAGCACAGCATCAGCAAAGCGAAAAGAATCTTCACAGGGCTCAGCCCCATCTAAAGAAAAGAAGAAGAAGTCCGCACTGGATGAGATCATGGAGGTACAGTCTTTGAACCACCCACGGACCCTTTAGCGCTTAGAGGAAGGATGCCATTCAAGTTGAAGTAAGGTTAAGTACTTTAGCCATTTATTATAGTTAAATTATTTTTATTTTTGTGTATGTGTGTGAATGTATGCACATTTGAGTGCAGGCACCCTTGGGGCCTGAAGAGGGCGTCAGATCCCTTGGAGCCAGAGTAACAGGAGCTTGTGAGCTGCCTAACATGGGTGCTGGAAACTGAACCCAGGCCCTGTGGAAGAGCAGGGAACATTCCTAACCACTGAGCAATCTCTCCAGCCCCTAGAAACAATTTTCTATACAGGATGAAGGCACAGAAGCCTTGTTTCATCTGAACAAATTGGAGCTTTGCAAATATGTGTGTTTTCTTGCTTCAAGAGTTGTCTTTGGAACTGTCTCTGCAGTTAGGTCAGTGGAGTTCAGTTAGAAGGGCTTTCCTGGTAACTGATTGAGATCAAAATTCCTTTGTTGTGCCACGTCTTGCCTCCTAGCTACCAGAAGAAAGCTGTGATAGGCTTTCTTTTTTTTTTTAATATCTTATTTTTTATTTTATGTGTAGGCATATATTGCCTGCATGTAGGTAAGTGCACCTGGTCATGCAGTGCCCATGGAGGAAGAAGAGGCTGTTGGATCCCCTGGAACTGGAGTTATGGACAGTTGTTAGCTGTCATGTGGGTGCTAGGATTTGAACCCGGGTCTTCTGGAAGAACAACCAGTGTTCTTAACCACTGAGCCATCTCTCCAGCCCCTGTAATATACTTTTAATTAGATTTAACATGATGGCTAAATCTATATGATGAATTATTAAAATGTGTGTGTTATCTGGAGATAGGTCCGTACTAGAGAAATTCTGCAGATGCTTTTTAATATACTCCTAATATCCCTTTCTTCCTTTCTACTTGTAATGTCACTCTATCAGTGCATTTATAAAATAAGAGGAAAAGAGGAAGGAGAGAAGAGAAAGAATTGGATACATAAGGTTAACATTTTTTCCTTCAATATTATTTCCTGTAGTCTTAGCATCTCTTAATTTGTGAAGGAAATGACTGTTTACTCTTCATGAGTCCTTACACTTTACAGGGCAGTCCAAAAATCTTAAAAGTGTAAGGTGAATGAATACACTATAATTTGTCCTTCCATCACTGAGTGAGCACTCAGCTGCCTTGTACCCAGACGTGGGTCTGTGTGGTAGGAACAGCAAAACAGCCCTTGCTTGTCATGGTGTACTCGTTTATAGACAGGGAGTCATTCAGTTAAGAAGCAAAGCAATAAATAAGTAATTATACAAAACCAGGTACTGAGGAGGTAAAGAATGGCAGAGACTGGGAGGACTTGAAGAGTCCCGTAAGGCGTGAAGAATTCAGTTCGTGTGGCTGGACCATAGTAAGCACATGCTGGTGCCCTGGAAGATTAGAGGCAGCATATGCAATACCACAGAGGTCTTGCCTGCCATGACAGGGATTTTAAATTTCATTTTTAAAAAAAGGAACATCAAATCTTCCTACTTTAACATAATTCATACAAGATTTAGAATAGTCGTTATTCATATTAGAAAGCTGAAGATTAAAAAAAATGTTTTAATTACATTTTTATTTTATGTACATGTGCCTATGTAGATTTCAGAGGGCAAGTTGGCAGGAGTTCCATGTGGGCCCTGGCAATTGAACTTGGGTCATCAGGCTCGGCTTTTAATTACTGTGCTATCTTGCAGCCTGCACTGAAGATTGTAACAAAGGTTTACAGTAAATTGAAGAATTACACTATAGGGGGCTAGAGAGACAACTTGGTGGTTAAGAGCACTTCCTGGTTTTCCAGAGGATCTGGGTTCAGTTCCCAGCACTCACATGAAGGCTAACAGTCAGACCCTGTCTCAAAAAAGGAAAAATGGAGAGAATTCCAGGGATCCAATGCCCTGTTCTGGCTTCTGAGGGCACTGCAGGCACATGGTGCACATACATTCATGCAGGCAAAACACTCATACACATAAAATAAAAAAAATAAGTAGTTGGGTTTGGTGGTACCCACCTTTAATCCCAGTACTCAGGAGGCAGAGGCAGGTATATCTCTGTGAGTTTGAGGCCAGCCTGATCTACACAGTGAGTTCCAGGGCAGCTGGGGCTACAGGGAGACCCTGACCCAAAAAAGACCAAATAAATCAACCAATAAATAAGTAAAAAAGAATTACATTGTTGGATTGCACTCAGAGTTGGTATCAGGTTAACTTTAAGCAGCTGAAAAAGCAGAGTGTGATGTATACAGCTTTAATGGTCAGATGGCACTTTGGGCCACTCTTACTTGTGTCTCTTTGTGGTACTTTCTTTCCTTCATTCATGAGCTGTCAACCAGGAAAGCTCTGCTTTGTTCAGACCATCTCCTGACTATTGGGCTGAATTGGTCCTGTGTTATCATTCTACTATGAAAATAACCTATTTCCCGCTCCTGGCACTCATGCAGGGCCACAGGGAGAGGCTTTTTTTTTTCCTGCTGGCAGATGGCTTTGTTTGTTTATGGGTCAGTTGAATTGCTTTATCATGTATTTCTTTTAAAAGTTTAAAAATAAATTTAAAGGGATTCGGAGATGGCTGTTGGTAAAGTGCCTGCTGTGCAAGCATGAGGACCCGAGTTCAGGTGGTCAGCCCTCGTGGAATCCAAAGCCATACAGCAGCATGTCTGGAATCTCAGCATGAGGGGTGAAGGCAGGTGCACCCACGGAGCTCACTGGACAGTCGACCGTCCACCGTCAGTGAGAGGTCCTTTATCAAAATAAAGAGAAAAGAAATGAAAGGGAAAGATGAAGAGCGTCAAAGAGGACACTGGGCTTCTAGCTTCCACACGCATGTGCTCCTCCATACACATGTGCACACACAAAATTGATCATAAATGATGTTTCTCTTTCTGGTGTTTTTGTTTGTTTGTTTGTTTTGTTTTTTTTTTGTCTTTTTGAGACAGGTCTCTTTGTAGCCCCACCTCGCCTGAAACTCACTATGTAGATCAGGCTGGCCTTGAACTCAGAGATCCGCCTGCGTCTGCCTCCCAAGTGCTGGGACTAAAGGCATGTGCCACTACATCTGCCAGAGTTTCTGTTTTTTAGAGCTTAAAAATTGTATCTTTGTTCTTTGTTAGAATGTGACTTGTGTGGATTTTTTTATCTGTTGTATAGATCGAAGAAGAAAAGAAAAGAACTGCTCGGACAGACTACTGGCTACAGCCTGTAAGTATTCAATTGGAGCATCTTCCATTCTATGCTCATGTTTAGTAAATAGTTTATGTAGAACTTGACATTAATAAATTTCTCAAATATATGTAAATTATTTGAGTAGATGTATTAGTTATTTTTCTCATTGCTGTAACAAAGCTCCTGACGGAAACAACTGAAGGAAGGAAGGGTTTGTTTTGATTCATGGTTTAAGAAGGGTTATGATACTTCAGGTGATGAAGACTTAATGGCAGGAAGAGGCAGCTGCTTACCATTGCATCTGCAGTCAGTGGCACCCAGCTAGCGTCCTCTTCCTCTCTCCCGTTATTCAGTCTGGTACCCTAGCCCATGGCATGGTGCCTCCCACATTCAGGGCAAGTTGTTGTATTTTCATTTCCTCAGTTAAATGTCTCTGGAAACAGCCTCAGAAACTTCCAGAGGTGTCCTCCTAGTTGGTTCCAAATCCAGTCTGGTTGACAGTGAACATGAGTCATCGCCGTGGATTAGCCAGAAGTTATATAACTGCCCTTTGCATTAGATCTTTGAATTTTTGGGTGATGCTGGGTTACTTTGTGTTTTAAGAAACTGATTTGGGAGTACTGGAGAGATGCCTTAGTAGTTAAGAGCACAGGCTGCTCTTACCGAGGACCTGGGTTTGGTTTCCAGCACCCACATGGCAGCTAACAACTGTCCATGACTCCAGTTCCAGGGGATCTGACGCCCTCTTCTGGCCCCTGTTGGCATGCTTACATGCAGGCAAAACACTCATACACATAAAATAAAAATAAATAAATGTTAATAAAGAAACTGACTGTGAGGCCGGGCATGGTGGCGCACACCTTTAATCCCAGCACTCAGGAGGCAGAGGCAGGCAGATCTCTGTGAGTTCAAGGCCAGCCTGGTCTACTAGTGAGTTCCAGGACAGCTGGGGCTACAGGGAGACCCTGTCTCAAAAAGACCGAAAAAAAAAAAAAAAAGAAAGAGTAGCCGGCACTCATCACTCAGCTTTCTGCCAGTAGGTGCACTGGTCCCAGCTGCCTGAACTCTTGCCAGTAAGATTTCCCATCTTGGTGGACTGTGCCCTCAAACTGTGAACCAGAATCAACCTTTCTTGTTTCTTTTGTCAGAATATTTTATCATAGTAACAGGAAAAGCAACTAATACATTTTGAGTAAGGATTTAAAGTGAAAAGGAAACCAACAGAAAGAGAAAAAACAAAGACCGTGCAGCCTCCGTGCTTCTTAGACACTCGGTGCTTGTTAGCACAGCCCAGGTGCTTGTTAACCTCTAAGTTCTTTCTATTGTCAGTACTTTCAGTTACACCCAGTTTCCTACTTGGTCATTTTTACCTGGTCATTTTCACTTGGTCTTTTTTTTTGGTGTTTTTTTGAGACAGGATCTCCCTGTAGCCCCAGTTGGCCCGGAACTCACTATGTAGACCAGGCTGGCCTCAAACTCGAGATCCTCCTGCCTCTGCCTCCCAAGTGCTGGGATTAAAGGTGTGCGCCACCACACCCAGCTCACTTGGTCATTTTTTCATAGTTCATCTGAAAGTGTTGTTAAAGTGATGATCAGCAGGCAGTACACTATTCACTCTATCTTTCTTTGAAATAATTTTTGTTATTTAAGTTTGTTAAAATACCCAGCAGTCTACAGAGACAGACTTGAAGAACTTCAGTTTTTAAACTCAGAAATGGGGGCTGTAGAGATGGCTCAGCGGTTAAGAGCACTGACTGCTCTTGCAGATGACGGGTTCAATTCCCAGCACCCACATGGCAGCTACGAACTGTCATTAACTCCAGTTCCAGGGGAATCCAAAGCCCTCTTCTGACCTCCGCGGCATTGCATGACATGGATGCACTCATACACATAAAAATAATAAATATTTTAAACTCAGAAATGAAACATTTTGAAGACACATCTTGTAGGCAAGTCCAATGACATAATTCAAAGTCTTCAAATCACTAGAGTACAGACCTGTTTGGGCTTGGGATGTTCAGTGCAGAAATACTGTCTGCATCAGAGAAGGTGTTTCGGCCATCAGTTGAGTTCGATTAGAAAATCTTAGTAGGGGCTGGTAAGATGGCGCACCGGTGTTTGCTGCAGGTAGCTCAATCCTTGAGGCCCACGTGGTGGAAGAGGAATACTCCTGAAAGTTGTCCTCTGACCTCCACACTCGAACTGCAGCATGCACACTCGGCACAAGCACACACACTAAATAAATAAGTAAATGTAGAAAAGATGTTTTAATAGAACAGGACCTAAGAGTAAGACCATGTTTTCTCTTAAACATTTCTTTTTAATTACTATTAAATATCTTACTCCTAGTGTCCTTACTAAATTTTTGTCAGTAGTTTTAAATATTTTATTTGTTATTTTTATTTTATGTGTATGAGTGTATTGCCTGTATGTATGTAAGTGCACCTGTGTCGTGCAGTGGCCGTGGAGGTCAGAAGAAGGCATTGAAGTCCCCCAAACTGGAGTTTTGGAGGGTTGTTAGCTACCATGTGGGTGCTGGGAACTGAACCCAGGTCCTCTGCAAGAGCAGCCAGTGCTCTTAACTGCCGAGCCATCTCTCCAGTCACAGTAGTGCTGTGTTTAGCACGACTTCATGAGAGTTTGTTACATTTCCTTGCAGCGTCAACTGTAGAATTACTGTACCTTGTATATACCTTGTATATACCTGACTGCTATATACAGCAAACCCAGACATTATTTCTATGAAATAAGCCTGGGGTTCTCCCCAATTTGAGACAAGATACTCAAAAGAACAGTGCTTTTACAGCTGGTCTGGTGTGATTCACATCAGTATCAAAAAATTCAGAGCAATCTAGTGAGGAAACAATCATGTGAGAAATGTCATGCTTTAGCCCAAAGACCCAGGTGCCTATAATTCCTGTAGGACTCTGATCGGAGTTTTTGATCAGCTGCACACCACCAGTACAGCAGGGCTGGCACTGTTCACTGTCTTGACTGGAGAGAAAGATACTGTCTGTGAAAGATGTGGGCCAAGAGAATTGAGATCCCCACATAAGTCTTAGCTCTCAAGAAACCTTCACTGTGGAAACCAAGCATTTAAAAAAAAATTTTTTTTCGTCTTGGTAATCATTAGGAACAAAAAGAGGGAGAAGGAACGATTCTTAGTAAACTGCTTGTCAACACTGGGAAAAGTTAGAATTCAGTTTCTTAATGAGCAGAAAATGGTTACATTTTACTATGGTTTTCAGTGAACTTAGCTTAAAAGGAAAAAGCAAAATACAAGAGAAAATTTATGTGTTTTCCTTCATTTTAATTTTTGTTCTTATTTTCTAGGAAATTGTTGTGAAAATTATAACCAAAAAGCTTGGAGAAAAATATCATAAGAAAAAGGGTGTTGTTAAGGTGAGGATATAAAGTGAGAGGAGTTTGTGGGGAACTGAAGCTATTTCATCATCTCTTGAAAACTAAGTCCTTAGAGCAGGAGTCTTGTGTCTAAGGTTTTGATTATTCCACAAAATAAAATCTGATTTTCTAACTGTTGGAGAAATACTTAATTTCCAAGTATAGTTTGTGCGTTTAACCTTAGTCTGTTTACTCACTGGGGTAGTGAGCATGGATGAAACCCCATAGGTATTACTTTGAGAAATTCAGTGTGTGTGCCTTGCTAGTTAATCAGTAAACGTGTTTTCTTTGTTAGTGATCGGCAGCTTTATTACGCCCAGGGTCTCAGAGGACTTCTTGTGTACTGCTTGGAAGAGTGTCTTTTGGCTGCTCCTATGGCTTTGAAATTCCTGCCCTTTTCTGACTTTAGCCTTTCCTAAACACAGGTCCATTCTAGCACCGGCCTGTGTGTATGTAAATGGTTTTACAGTCATTCTGCTTTATCTTAAGATCAGCAGTCTTACTCTTTGCAGGTAAAACCCTTAACTAAACTTTGTACTGAAAGTTTTTTGAACTGTAGAATGAGAAATTGTGTATGGATCTAGAAACCTGTTTATAGGGTCTGTTCTTTCAATTGGAATTTATTTTCCTTATTTTTGTCCTTTTAACTGTTAAATATTTCTTCCATTATAAAAGTGTTCATTTTACATGACAGGAAGTAATTGACAAGTACACAGCTGTTGTAAAGATGATCGATTCTGGAGACAGGCTGAAACTTGACCAGACTCACTTAGAGACAGTAATTCCAGCACCAGGTAACCATTTAACACATAAGCTATCAAATGAGTGATTCCATGCTTAAGCCTGTAGTTTCCTCTGAATGTTACTTCTTGTTGGCAGATGTGTTTCCTTTTTCAGAAATACCACATGCCATCATAACTTGTCCCCATTAGACTTGAAGTGACACAGTCCTTTGCTAGTCCTCTGATGAGGCTGTTTTTGGAAAGAATGAATTTTCCATTCTTAGAATACATTTTTTTCTTCTCAAGCAAAACACAGAGATTTACAAATAAAATCAACTGTCTTCTTAGCTATGTTGTTAATATCTGTGTAGCTGATAGTCCATTTTTCTCTTTTCCCTTGACTGCCTTTGTCTGTTGGGTCCTGTCTGGTTTTCAGTGTAAAGCTGTTTGGTCAGCAGCTTGCCTCTGACCCAGAGCCTTCTGGGAGTGTCATTGCATGCACAGTGGTTGTGCCTGCTTAGAAGTTCTCCTTGTCATCACCTTCATTTTCCCCTAAAAGAAAACTCTTCTTGTAGACTAGAAAAGAATTTTATGTCCCACAGTAAGTTATATTTGTGTACAAGTATGATGTGACTGGTTTAGCATGTGAATGAATACTCCGTGAAGCCGTTGCTGTGGTGGACAATGAGCTTGTCCCTCCGTTTCCCTTTTCTGACCCTCCCTCACAGTTTCTGGTTCCCGGGTCTCCCAGGCAGCCGCAGGCCAGCTTTCTGTCACTAGACTCATTTTTATTTTTCTAGAATTTTGCCCAAATAAAATCGTGCCATGTGTCTTGGTTTTTCTGTATGTGTGTGGTATGTATTAGGGTATGTAGTTTGTGTGATGCTTGTGTGTATGGTATGTGTATATGATGTGTAGTATGTGTGGGTATGATGTGTGGTATATTTGTGTATGATGTGTGTGTTATGTGTTGTGTTATATGGTGTGTGTTGTGTGTGTGGTGTGTATATGATATGTGGTGTGTATAATGAGTGATTGATGTGTTTATGATGTGTGGTGTGTATATGATACGTGGTGTGTATGATGTGTGTGTGGTATGTATTGATGTGTGGTGTGTGTTTATGATGTGTGGTATGTGTATGGTGTGTGTCTGTATGATATATGGTGTGGGGATGGTGTGTGTTGTGTGTATGTCTGTGGCGTGTGGTACGTGGTTGTGCTTTTTTCTTTCAGTTCGACTTTCACTCATTGTAGTCATTTTGGAGTCACCCATATTACTGCATGAATCTACAGTATATTCTTTTTAAAAATTTTTTATTTTGTGTGTATGAGTGCTCTGCCTGCATGTATGTAAGTGCAGCCATGTCATGCAGTGCCTTTGGAGGCCAGAAGGCGGCACTGGATCACCTGGAACTGGAACTACAGATGGTGGTTAACTGCCATGTGCATGTGCTGGGATCTGAACCCAGGTCCTCAAGAAAGCAGCCCGTGCTCTTTACCACTGAGCCATCTCTCCAGCCCCCATACAGTACATTCTTTTTTACTGTTGGTCTCTGAACATTTTCTTCAAGTTCCTTATATTCCTTCTATTCCTAAAATTAAAATACATCCCTCTAACAAGAAATTGAGAAAAATAAAGTAATAATGTTTGTATAATCAAAGTAGGGGCTGGGGATGTAGTTCTCAGGGAGAGCACTTCTCTGCCATGCCCAGAGCCCTACCACTGACAGAGAGACAGAGTCAGAGAGAGAGAGAAAGAGAGAGAGGGCACCAGGTCCTTTCAGAATGCTCTGGAATTCGTTTCTTATGTTCTATGATTAAGAACTTGTAAAGAAGTGTTTTGCTTTTCATCGTGTTCAACCTGTAATGCATTTTGCTGTCATAAGATAGAAGAAAAAGTCAACATTTTCTTTGCGTTAAGTTTTATATTTTCTATTGTAGGAAAAAGAATTCTAGTTTTAAATGGAGGCTACAGAGGAAATGAAGGAACCCTGGAATCCATCAATGAGAAGACTTTCTCAGCTACTATAGTTATTGAAAGTGTAAGCTTGTTTATGCAAAGCTTGTTTATGCAAAGTTGTCTAAGCACTTTAGAAGCACGCATCTGTTCTCTTTGTGGCCCTCTCTCGTTTAGCTCGTTGAGGGCCCCGGCTCTTTTTGGTCTCTCATCCTTTGGCATCTTCAGCTCGCCTTGTCCAGTGACTCTGCCGTTGGTGAAGAGTCTTAGTTTTTAATTACCAGAAATGTGTGCTTATGATGTAAAACCGGACAGGTACAATTTAAAAAAAATAATTATGAAAATTACCCATAACTCCCAACCCAATGATAACCCTTTTAGTATTTCATCCTATTCCTTTTCTGTCTTTGTGGTTTATAAAATTATGTACAAACTGGGCAATTTTATACATTTTTTTTCTCACATCTGCTATAAAACTCAGTTTGGCTTTGTAACATTAGTGAGGGAAAGAAAGTTTTACTTAATGGGGAAGGAACTTCAGAGAGCAACTACACTTTTTAGTAGTTTCAAGTAGGTAGCTGGGTGTAGTGGCTCACACCTTTAGGTGGATCTCTGTGATTTCAAAACCAGCCTGGTCTACATAGGGAGTTCCAGGCCAGCTGGGGAGACCCTGTCTCAAAAAGACCAAAAAGGAAAGAAAAGGAAATTCAAGTAGGTGAGATTACACAATATTGATAAGAACTCTGTCACGTAAATAAAATTGTTTATTAAGTTAGAACTGATGGTTTATTGACAGGTGTGGGAGGCCCAACATGTCTTCCCAAGGAAGCCCTTCTCCTTAGAACTCTGAACTGCTGCATTACTGTGTGTTTATCAGCAAAACACATCTTCATGTGCAGCACATCCATTTGTACAGTTGGGGTGAGCAGTGGACCCCTTGGAGAATCTGATGAAAGTCTGGACGACTCTCCAGAATATTGCACCTATGTGCCAGCTTCTGGGTCCTCATTTGAGAAAATTCATACTTCATTCAACTAAAAAACATCCTTTTTTCTCTCTGTGATAATACCAACCATGAAATTGTTACTGACAGGGACCCTGAAGACAGAAAACATGAAGCAAAAGGAACTTTATCTGACGTTGAGGAATTTATCAGTCTGACTAAATTCACAGATCTTAAATTTTACTAAATTTAAACTATGTGAGTTTTTTCCCCCTGACCTATAAAGTGGTAACATGCTGAGAAATCCTGTAATCCCTTGACACATCGGTTACCCTCCTTTCCTTCCTTTTTCTTCCTCTTTTTTCAGATAGTCTTTCAATGTAGTCCAGGCTGGCCATGCGATAATAATTTTTTAAAATATGTATTTTATTTATTTTATGTGTATTTTATGTGCATGAGTGCTTTGCTTATATACATGTAAGTATATCACATTCACTCAATGCCTGCAGAAGCCAGAAGAGGAAGATGCAGATGGTTATTAGCTACCATGTAGCTTCTGAGAACCAAACCCAGTTCCTCCAAAAGAACAGCCATCTTACCTGCTGAGCCATCTCTCCAGTCTCATGAAATGATGATTTTTTAAAGTCCTCAGTGTACAGATGTTAACTAACTTACTGATATTCTGGATATACAGATAAAGTAAATTTGTGTCCATAAGTATGCTATTATTTATTTGTCTTTTAGTATATATTTCTAACCTTTTCCTAAATTATTTTTATTTGTAGGGACCTTTAAAAGGACGCAGAGTTGAAGGAATTCAGTATGAAGACATATCTAAACTTGCCTGAGTTTGAAAATTTTTAACAACACATCGAAACCCTAAAGCATCAAATTGATGTTTGCCAAGGCGCTCTGAGACTCTACTGTGTTAGGGTATTTATTTTGTATAAAAAGGATCTATTTAAATATTACTGTACAGTTCAACTAAACTTACAGAAAAATCTAATTATGTTTCCTGAAATATCAGAACTTTGTAATTTTAACTGTTTTTCCCCCTTTGTAACAATCCTCTGATGGGTTTTTATCATTAAAGAATGGTGTTAATAAAGTGTTTCATGTATGACCATTTGGAATATATAATGGGAAGAGATCTTTCATATGTTCTAAATATATATTTTTAGTGGTAGAAGAGTAAAGTTGAATTAAAATTTAAACAGCCAAACTAGACATGGCAACAGTACCTTTATTGTGATATAATTCATCTATCATGCAGTTACCAAGTATGCAATTCAGTGGTTTTCCGTGTATTCTATTCACAGACTTGTACAGCCTAATCTAATTCTTTTTTTTTTTTTGCCTTTTTGAGACAAGGTCTCCCTGTAGTCCCAAGCTGGCCTGAAACTCACTATGTAGACCAGGCTGGCCTTGAACTCACAGAGCTCCACCTGCCTCTGCCTCTGCCTCCTGAGTGCTGGGATTAAAGCTTGATTGAATTCTTAAGGATTTTTTTATCCTTGTCAAAAGAAGCACCGTGCAGCATCCCTCCTTCCCCAGCAGTCACCCATTCTCTTGCAACCATTAATCTACTTCTGGTCTCTGCATTTGACTCTTCTCTAGGAACATGGCTTAGTGTGTAACAGTGTGTGGTGTGCAAGTGTGAGAGCCCAAGTTCTGACTCCCAGCACCCACATCAAAGTGCGGCCACCTGCTCCTATAATCCCAGTGCTGGGGGGAGTGGGGGTGTTGGGGACCCTTGTTGTGTAAAGTAGCAGTCTCTTCATGCCTGGACAGCCCATGGGCTCGGCTCAAATGCAGAGACTCCTTTTTCAGCAGGGTGCTTTTCTGGCATCTTCCTGACTCGTCTTTTGAAGTAGCCGCCACAGAAACATAGCTTCCGGCTCTGGAAATGCCAGGCTTTCCTGTGTGATTTTTCAGGCAGTCTGGCAGCCTGGCAGGAGCTTACTTCCACATGTAAATGGGGCATCCTAAAAGTACCTATCAGCTAAGGTTTTTACTACCACCCCCATGGTATAAGTGAACTGGTTTTTCCTCAATAATTGGAGCTGGAGCTGGATCACCAAGACTTGGAGCCGAGCAGAGTCAGGAGAATAAAGAGCTGTAACACGGACTAAGCTGAGTCCCGTGTCTTATTGCCTACGATCCAGCCTCCCCGGGGGGCGCTTTCCTTCCGTCATCGACTCACGGAAACCCAGCTTTAGCCGCTCGCACCTTCCCGCGTGATCCAGCTGCCGGTGGATTTCGCATCTCGAGGAAGTGCACTGGTGAAATTAGGGCTGAATTCGGCTGGGCCAGCCCCGGTAGCAGAGGGACTCACAGCGGAGAAGCAGCGGAGAAGCAGGGGCCTGCCAGCAACGCGCTGCGGGACCCGCCGCCTTCCCGGTGCGCACAGGGGACCGGCACCACACTAGCAGCTGGCGCCCCGAGATCCCTGCGCACCCCATGGGGGGGGATAGGTGGATACCCAGAGCAAAAATCGTGAGTTCCAGGTTCAGTGAGAAACCCTGTCTCAAGAGGTTAAGGCAGAAAGATGCCTGAGCTCATCCTCTGGTCTCTGCATGCACACACGTGCACACATATATGCCATTCACATTACATATAAATGGGATAGTATATAACATGGTCTTTCATGATTGGCTTCTTTTTTTTTCCTGTTCAGGGGAGGTGGATTTGAGACATGATGTCATGAAGGTCAAGCTGGCCTTGAACTCGCTGTGTAGTCAGGGACGATGTTGAAGTCCTGATTCTCTTGCCTCTACCTCCCAAGTGCTGACATTGTAAGTGCGTGCCACCTTGCCCAGCAGAGCTGACATTGTAAGTGCGTGCCACCATGCCCAGCAGAGCTGACATTGTAAGTACATACCACCATGCCCAGCAGAACTGCATTTCTCTTTTCATTACCAAATACCAGTCTGGTAATGTATGGATATACCACATGTATATCTGTTCACTGATGAACATTTTGGTTGCTTCTACTCTGTGGCTGTTTGGATGCTGCCGCTGGGACATTTATGCCTTTTTTTTATGTGGATGTGTGCTTTTGCTTCCTACAATTAGAGCTGCAGGATCATGTTATATCATTCCAGCAATGCTGACTGTGTATCTTTAAAAAAGCGGAACAGTATGTTGCTTGGATACGCAAACGACAGATCCTCTTTGCATATGCCTATCACTGCCCCAAAAGGAACTTTATATTACTGAAAATGAGCAGGTCCAGAGGGTCCAATACACAACTGAAAAGAAGTGCACAGCAGGGTCTGAGGTGGACGGGCTTCTCAGGGATCGTTCTCTCTGCATGCTGTTTTCTGTGTTGGCTCTGTTCTCTGGCACAAGATCTAGATGTCTCCCAGTATCTCCAGGCTTACATCTTACCTATAAGCAGCACCGGGGGGGGGGGGGGGGGGGGGTAGCCAGGTGTGGCAGCACACGCCTTTGGTCTCAGCACTCAGGAGGCAAAGGACAGCAGATCTCTGTGAGATTGAGGCCAGCCCATCTACATAGCAAGTGCTAGGCCAGCTGGGGCTATAGGGAGACCGTCTCAAAAACCAAACAAAATGCTGTCTCTAGTGATTCGGAGAGAGGCCTAGAATTTCTCCACACCTGGGCAAATCAAAGAAAGCAATTGAGTGGTCAGACCTAGGTTGTGTGCCTGATCCTGGGCCCTGTTGCTTGGGCAGAAAGTAGAGGTTGCCAATGACTTCTGCTATCAGAAGGAAGAACATTTGCTGGTTGTGAAGTGTAAAAGGCAGGTTGAGAAACGTAAGAAATGTTCAGGAGGATGAGCCCTGGATAATTTGCATTATCTGGACCTTCTGCAGTCTCTCCACTCAGCTACCAAAGGACACCTTGGTTGCTTCCAGGCTTTGGAAATTGTGAACAAATCTGCTGTAACTATCCGATACATAGATTTTTGTGCAAATAATAGTTTTCAGCTCAAAATAATTTGTATCAGTATCAAGTATCAAGGAGTATGATTGCTAGATTGTGTGATGAAAGTGTGTTTGGTTTGCTGAGACACTGAACTGAGTTCAAATCAGTTGTACTAATTCTCAGTCCCACAAAGAAGCAAAGAGAGACTCCTTTCAAGTCCTTGCTAGCATTTGGTCCTGGTGTTCTGGATTTTGGCTCTTCTAATGTCTATATTTTAGATTGATTTGCAGTTCCCTAGTGATAAATTATGTTGAGCATGTTTTCATATGGTTATTTACCATCTGTCAGTGTTTGGTGAAGTGTCTTTTTAGGTCTTATGCCTATCTTTTTAAAGATTTTATTTTTAAATATGTGCATGTGTGAATCTATGTGGGGGTATATACACGCACATGTGTGTGTGTGTGTGTGTGTGTGCGCGCGCGTGTGTGCGTGCTCGCTGTACCTGTGAAGGCCAGAAGAGGGCACCCAACTGCCTGTAGCTGGAGTGACAGGTGATTCTGAGCTGCCCTTAGGGGTGCTGGGAACCAAACCCAGGTCCTCTGCAAGAGCAGTAAGCATCCTTGACTGCTGAACCATCTCCAGCCCCTTGCCGATTTTTCAGTTGGGTCATTCTCTTATTGAACTTTGGGAGTTTTTATAACAATTTTTGATCAGATAGGTCTTTTGCAAATATTTTCTCCAGTCTGTAAATTGCCTTTTAGTTGTGAAAATGATTCTTTTTTAACTTACTTGAGTTCATATCAAATTACTAGCATTGCCAACCTGGGATGAAACCAAATTCCCAGTTTTCTTTACTGGAATTCAGTAAGTCCTTGTTTTATTGCTACATTTGCTGTTTGTTCCTTTTTGGCGTTTACTTCCCAACTGCCTCTCAGTTTTTGCTGACATATAGAGCATCTCTGGTTTGTGAGTCCCTGTTGCTGGTCACAGGAGATACAAGAACACACGAGGAATACACATCTGAGGTGCATTTATATAGAAATAGTGTTCACTGATCTGAAGATGGAATGATAGGCCAATAGGAGAAGCCTGATAAGCAGTCAGGCGTGGTGGCATACACCTTTAATCCCAGCAGGTGGAGGCAGGTGGAGTTCAAGGCTACCCTGGTCTACATAGCAAGTTCTAGGCCAGCTGGGGCAAAGGGAGACCCTGTCTCAAACAAACAAAAAACAAAGCAAAGCAAAACAAAATTCTCACCAACTTTGCTTAGTCTAAGAGACCCTGATTCCTACTTTGGTCAAATGGAAGTACAGAATTAGAATACAAGTCAGCCTTGATGTAAGTTAGTTACGAACTTGATTTAAGTGACCCTAGAAATATTAGTTGCATAGCTGAATCATTACACAAAGGGAAGCATGCTTGATTTTTCTGTCTTGTCTATTTCAGAAAAAAAAAATCACCAAATAGATTTGACCAGTAAAGAACAAACTCTTGATTTTGCTGAATCTTTGGAGTCACATTTTTTTTTTTCACTAGGATAAGATTGGAGAAACAGAGTAGTAGTAACTGATCCTTTGGTTAAAGGGGTGTCCCAGTTTTTGGGTTTTCTGGGCTAGCTACGTTGGACAAAGAAGAATTGTCTGGAGTGACGCATTAAACACAGGGGTGCCTACAGTACTTGGTCAGCTACGAGTTCATGCTTGAGAGCCCTGCCGTCAGGTTACAAAACAAAATAAACCACAAAAGCATGTTTTAAGTAAGTTTATGACTTTGTGTTGAGCCATATTCATATTTGCATAAAAATAATACCTCAAGGGGCTGGAGGAATGGCTCAGTGGCTACAAGCACTTCCTCCACTTGCAGAGGACATGGTTTCAGTTCCCAGCACCCACATGGTAACTCCCGTCCATCCCTAACACCAGTTCTAGGGGGGCTCAATGCTCTCTTCAGACATCTGCTACACATGCAGGCAAAACAGACATATAAAATAAAAAATTTAAAACCCTTAAAAAACCCCAAACTAGTAAAGACCAAAATAACTCAGGGTTCTTAGTTCATTCCTGTGTTGTTTTTTTTTTTTTTTGGTCTTTTTGAGACAGGGTCTCCCTGTAGCCCCAGCTAGCGTGGAACTCACTATGCATATAGACCAGACTGGCCTTGACCTCATGGAGATTCTCCTGCCTCTGCCTCCCAAGTGCTGAGAGGCCTCCACCATCACACCTGACTGGGTAAAGCCTTTAAACACAAGCTACCTAAGACCAAAAGATAAGTTAATGATTCTGCAGCTGAGATTTCAGTTGTGCGCTAATAGTGCATACAAAACTAAGTAGGGACTGGAGAGATGGCTCAGTGGTTAAGAACACTGGCTGCTCTTGCAGAGGACCTGGGTTTGAGTCAAAGCAGCCACATGGTGGCTCACAACTATCAGTAACTCCAGTTCCAGGGGATCCATCACCCTCTTCTGACCTCTGTGGGCATTGTGCACACATAGTACACTTAAATACATGGAGGCAAAATATTCATAAAAATAAGTTAAAAAATTTAAATGAGGTTAAAGTTCCCCTCCCATGAACCTGGAGCTGTGCTCCTCTCCTGTGAACCACAGTTGTGGACCCTTCCTGGGAGCTGGAGCTATTGTCACCTCTGTGAACCTGGAGCTATGGTCCCTTCCAGTGAGCCAGAGTTGTGGTCTCTTTCCATGATCTGGACCTGTGATCCCCTCCCACAAACCTGGAGCTGTGGTTCCCTCCTGTAAATCTGAAGCCGTGGTCCACCTCCTGTGAGCTTGAGCTGTGGTCCTCTCCCATGACCCTGGAGCTGTGGTCCCCAACTATGAGTACAGATCCACACTGCTCTGGTGGTGGGCTGATGGTGGAACAGATTGGAGGATGGAGGACTTTCCCATGTTGGGCAGCAGTTTTAGCCGCCTCTGAGTGACCCCATTCCCCATACCCCCTCCCTGAGGTCCCAGGTTGTGCATGCCAGTGGCTTTGTCTCTGTGTAGGGCTTATGCTGGGGACAGGGCAGGTTTCTGTTATTTGCAGGTTCTAGTCTTGGGAGGACTGATTCTCAAGCACTTCCCACCTCCCTTGATGGCCAGCTATGGTCTTGACTCCACACATGGTCCTGGGTGTTGGACTTTCCCATTCTCAGACACTAAGAAGTTTTCCATTATTTTTCTATTACTCTGCCACAGTCCCATTTACAGAAAATGTAAATCATTTAGTTGAATTTCTAGAAATAAAAATCATGGTCTGAGAAATTAAAAAGAAAAAAGGAAAAAAATGAGATTGAGGAACACCTGGTCTCCACATGCACGAGCACACACATGCACACATACCTATAGACGTGAATGTACATATACACACAAAATTAAAAGATTTTTGAAATAAATATTTTTTTTGGTCTTTTTGAGAGAGGGTCCTGTAACATCAGCTGGCCTGGAACTCACTATGTAGAGCAGGCTGGCCTCAATCTCAGAGATCTCCCTGCCTCTGCCTCCAGAGTGCTGGGATTAAAGGAGAGCACCACCACATCTAGCTGCATTGGATTATTTCCAAAGTACAATTTCACCAAGATGGCCTTTAAAAATTAACTACCAGCTGGGCATGGTTGGCACATGCCTTTAATCCCAGCACTCGGGAGGCAGAGGCAGGTGGATCTCTGTGAGTTCAAGGCCAGCCTGGTCTACATAGTGAGTTCCAGGCCAGCTGGGGGCTACAGGGCGACCCTGTATCGAAGACCAAAAAAGAAATAATTAATTGAATAAAACAAAATAAAAATTAACTCCTGGAGCCAGAGAGATGGCTCAACAGTTAACAGAGTATACTGCTGCAAGTCTCCTTGTAGCCCCAGCTGGCCTTGAACTCTTTATGTAGACCAGAATGATCTCCATGTCACAGAGATCTGCCTGCATCTGCCTTGTAAGTGCTGGGATTAAAATGTGCACCACTATGCCTGGCAGGAATTGATTTCTATTTTTTTTCTATTTATTTAAGTCTATAAATATTTTCCCTGTGCATATGTAAGGACACTGTGTACATGCAGTGCCTGCAGACATCAGAAGAGGGCATTGGATCCACTGGAACTGAAATTATGGATTTAGCCACCATGTGGGTACTGGGAACCAAACCCAGGTCCTTTGCATGAGCAACCAGTCCTCTTAACCACTGAACCACCTCTATAGCTCCAGGAATTGATATTTTTAAGGAAACTAAAACGTTCAAACTATTTGCACCCTGCCACCCAAATCTGTGTTTGAGTCTTCTGAATCTGCTCCAAACATGGTGTTTGTTTATTCTGTTTTGTAAATGTCACTACCCTTTAGGACATTTGCTGCTTTATCTTTTTTTTTTAATTTAAATTTTTATTTATTTGTTTTTTTGGTCTTTTTGAGACAGGGTCTCCCTGTAGTCCCAGCTGGCCTAGAACTCACAGAGCTCCACCTACCTCTGCCTCCCAAGTGCTGGGATTAAAGTTGTATACCACCATGCCTGGCCTCCTGCTTTATTTTTTTTTAAAAACTCTAAGATAAATTTAGATTGTAAATGATATTACTTCTAAGATGTTAAAATTCAGGCAGAGTTCTACAGGAAGAGCTAAGGAAGGCTGGATTCACACAGATTTGTGTTAGGTCGCTCATCGAGGGGGTTTCTGGGGAATCTGAAGTTATGATTCTCTCAGAATATGTTTAGCAGCTGGAACACTGTGCTGTCATCTATGGGAATATCATGAGCCATTTTCTCCTTTTTTCATAGACGTATCTTAATCACATCTACCCTCCACTCCCTCCCTCCACCTCCCCCTGCCTCTCGCCCCAGTTTTCTTATTTTCTTTCAAGTCCTTCCACCTTTCGGTTGTGAGCCTGAGCCTTTAACGGCTGCGCCAGCTCTCCAACCCATATCCCTACTCTTTTTTTGGTCTTTTTGAGACACAGTCTCCCTGTAGCCCAGCTGTCCTGGAACTCACTATGTAGACCAGGCTGGCCTTGAACTCACAGAGATCCGTCTGCCTCTGCCTCCCAAGTGCTGGGATTAAAGGCGTGCGCCACCACGTCTGGCCCCATACCCCTACTTTTTAAAAGAATATTTTATTATTTTTATTTTAGTGTATGAGTGTATTGCCTGCATGTGTTTAAGTGCACCCATGCTGTGCAGTGCCCGCAGAGGTCAGAAGAGGGTGTTGGATCCTCTGGAACTGGAGTTATGAATGGTTGTTAGCAGCCATGTGGGTGCTGGGAATCGAACCTAGGTCCTCAGGTCCTCTGCAAGATCAACCAGTGCTCTTAACCACTGAGCCATCTCTCCAGCTTCATGAACTCATCTTTTTTTTTTTAAATTTTAAAAAGTTATTTTTTATTTTATCTGTATGCATGTATTGCCTGCATGTAGGTAAGCACACCCATGCTGTGCAATGCCCATGGAAGACAGAGAAGACAGAAGAGGCTGTTGGATCCCCTGGAACTAGAGTTACAGACAGTTGTCAGCTGCCATGTGGGATGAACTCATCTTTTTAATACCCCCCCCCCTCAAGAAATCTGACGAATCTGTCTCAAAACTGGAAGGGACTTCGGGAGCCAACATTAAGGAGGGAACTTGGCTAACCCTACTGGGCAAACTCTTTCTTGGCAAGGCTATCCCTACAGTGGGTAACAGGGCTTTAGTATAAACCTTGGTTACAAAGTAGCTAAGACAGAAGGATAGCCCTTGTCTATATCCACCAACAGCCTTCTCACAATTGGCCTTCCTGTGTAATAACAATGAATACGTGATTAGTCTTTAAGGCCAAGGTGACATTCAACAATACGTGGATTTTCACAGTAAACCAGGTCCTGGGCTTGGTCTCAATGGCAGCTTGACTCACCAAAGCTACTTCTTGATTAATACACCTCATCATCTAAAAATACATCAACATTCTGAGGCTTCTTTGCAAAATGTTTATTTTCTTCAGGTGGGTTAGCAGGCTCTTTTATAAGCCACGATAATACCCATTTGTTATTAATTACTCAAAGGAATAACCGCAAGAACTGTCAAGGGATGAGATGTATATTTGTACACATTTCCCAAACCATAAACCTTTAGGGCCATTTGAGAAAGCTGTAGAGCTGAGGTACGATGTAATCCCTGTAATTTCCGTCAATGAAACCTTTCCCACTATTGTGCACAAACCAGCAGGGAACATGGGTTCCGAACACTATATCCGTCCTGTAGTCCTTCTGTAGCCCTCTGAAAGGGAAATGACGTGTACAGTTAGGAAACAGACCACACATGGGAGCAAGGCAGGGCTGGAAAAGACACCCTCTTTCCCTTGTTCTTTGTGCCCTTCTTCATACCATCTTTGCCCACCCCTGCCCTTCCGTGCTTCTCAAGTTAAAAGAGATGTCAGTCTGGGGGTTGCTGTTGGAAGGATGCAGGATAACCCACGTGTCCTTGGATACCTCAGATAGTCCTTATGGAAGTCAATCTGTATGGACTCTTTTTTTAAAAAAAGATTTATTTTTATTCATTCACAGGAGCGCTTTGCCTGCATGTATATATGTGCACCTTGTGTGTGCCTGGTGCCCTTAGAGGACACCAGAAGAGGGTGACAGATCCTTTGGAACTGGAGTTAAAATGGTTATATGCTGCCATGTGGGTGCTGCGAATTGAATCCAGGTCTTCTGCAAGGGCAGCGTGTGCTCTTAACCACTGGGGTATCTCTCCAGCCCCTTTATATGGATTGTTCCAGCAAGGTAAAGAGTAGCAAATTAATGCAACTAAAAAAGGACAAAAATGAAATTCAGTGCTGTAGGCTAACCTGTGCTACCTGAAGAATAAAGCCAAGCCAGCTTTTGCCTTCACCTTGCAGACAGATGTTTTATTTAAGGATGATGTCAGTGTTTCTGAGCAAATTCAAGATCCCACTAGAAGGATCAAGAAGCTAATGTTTTTAAAATGTATGGCACACTGCCATTAGTGAGCTTTAACAGTATGGAGCGGGTCAGTTCAATTTCAATTATGAATCATGGGGCATCATAGGTGCTCCAGGAAACTGAGGCTCACCATTTGCCTTTAATCATACACGCTCTTTTATGAAGCTTCACATGAGGTAAGACTGCTACTAAGTGGGTCTCACCATTGCTTTATGCTGCCAGATGCCCATTCTTTAAAACTTTTTTTTTTTTTTGTCTTTTTAAGACAGGGTCTCCCTGTAGCCCCAGCTGGCCTGGAACTCTCTATGTCAACCAGGCTGGCCTCGAACTCACAAAGATCTGCCTGCCTCTGCCTCTGAAGTGCTGGGACTAAAGATATGCACCACCAAAGATTTTAAAATATTTAAAAAATATTTAATTCTATATGTATGAGTGTATTACCTGCAAGTATGTAATCGCACAAGTATGTAATTGCACCTGTGTCATGCAATACCCATGGAGGCCAGAAGAACTGGAGTTATAGACAGTTACTTGCCACCATGTGCTGCTGGGAACCAAACCCAGGTACTCTGCAAGAGCACCAGTGCTCTTACCCCCGAGCCACTTCTCCAGCTGTGACTGTTGCCCATTCTTAACTCACTGGTCACTGTCTAGCAAACCAATACCACTAGATGGTATACTCATGAAGAATCCAATGTTTTAAAAAAAATTTATATTTTTAGCTTATATGTATTAGTGTTTTGCCTGCATGTGTGCAAGTGCACTGTGTCATGCAATGCTTGTGGAAGTCAGAAGAAGGCGTTGGATGCCCTGAAACTGGAGTTATGTGTGGTTGTTAGCCACCATGTGGGTGCTGGGAATCAAACCCGGGTCCTCTGCAAGAGCACCAGTGCTCTTAACTGCTGAGCCATTTCTCCAGCCCAAATCCAATGTTTTAATTCACAAATCTATTTTGTGGTAGCACATACAATTTTATGATTTCACTATCATTGTGAAGTTACATTTTGTTGGCATTTCTGTAGAATCATTTCTAACAAGGAAAAGTAGCTGCTGTATAAAATAAGAAGACAAAATGCTTTAAAATGATATCAAATCAGGCATGAGGGAGACAGCTGTTCCCAGACAAGACTGGGAAACGTTTTCAAGGATTTATAAGAATTTTACATTCAGGGGCTGGAGAGATTGGCTCAGTGGTTAAGAGCACTGGCTGCTTTTGCAGAGGACCAGAGTTTGGTTCCCAGCACCTATGTGGCATCTAACAACGGAAACTCCAGTTCCAGCAGAGTCAGTCACCACCTTCAGGCCTCCTCAGGCATTGCATGCATGGGTTGTACCTGCATACACGCAGGCAAAACACACATAAAATAAAAATAAATAAAAAATAATTTTATACTCAGGACTTATAAGTGTCTAAATTCTCACTCTGAGATGAAGCATATGGAAGTGATTTGTGTAAGAAAAACTACAGAAAAGCGTGCTCAGTAACCCATATTAATAAAGAAGCCCTCACACAAAACCTACACGCACCTTCTCTAGTGCTGTGCTTAACGGGTGTTTTCTGATGTCAACTTAAAAAAATTTTTGTTTATTATTTATTTTATTTTATGTGTATGAGTGAATTGCTTACATGTATGTGAGTGCACCCGTGTCGTGCAATGCTGCAGAGGTCAGAAGAGGGCATTGGATTCCCCTGAAACTAGAGTTAAGGATGGTTTTTAGCCACCATGTGGGTGCTGGGAATTGAACCCGGATCCTCTGCAAGAGCTGTCAGTGCTCTTGACCGCTAAGCCATCTCTCCAGCCCCTGATTTCAACTTTTTCAGTTATCTAACTTGTGACTTCAGGACTGCCAGTGTATACAGATGAGAAGAGTAGATTGACTAACCTTGACATCTCATGATGCGTGTGCACACATGCATGATCATTATTTGCATTTAAGCAGGGCTGTCTGAAGTGCTCTTACACAGATGTTATGTATGTGTCTATTGCCAATGAATTGTGGAGTGTGACGACATAGTACTTAGGATTGGGCTTTGCGTGCTCTCCTGTCTTAGGCATTCAAGTCCTACCTGGTGACGGTCAGCTTATGTCCTTTCACTTCCATGCTCGCCTCTGGCTTTGCCGGGTCCTTTCCTGGTCTCTCATTGAAGATATGAATCTTCGGCTCATGCATGAACTGGCCTAGCAACACAAAATTCAGGCTTTTAAAAAATATGTAATCCAAGACCTGTCATTGAGTCCAAGAGACATTTTCATCCTCCAGAATCTCTTTATACATGAGGCAGATCTACTAGACCATTGATACATTACTGCCCATTTGACAGCAGCAGGTGAGGTCAGTGATGGAGAATGTGGTTCATATCACAGGAAAAGGTCAGTTCGAGATGTCACATACTCACATCTAAAATCTTCTTATAATGCTTATTATCACATACCTCCTAAACCAGGTCACCTTTCTTTAGTTAAAAGAAAAAATCTTAGCATAAATCTTAAACTGTTTTGTCCCTCCTCTTAACTTGCTACATCCGTGCCACTGAAACTGTAATCCTGATGCCGTGGTCTATAAGGGCCACCACACCCTGTCCACCCTTCTATGGTGGATCCTCTGATTGTGCATGCTCACCTGCCACCTTCCCAACTTCTAACCACAGTCATCCCAGGCACCGGTGCCCGATGGTGAGCACTTTACCTAACAGTCCATGTGTACTGGGTGAAAACTTGTTTGTGGGTGGAACATAGATGCCCAGAAAGTCTACGTTGACTGGGTGTTTCTTCCACACACGATGCAACAGAACAGAAAAGGACATCTCTTTATCCAGGGTGAGAGTCACAGATCGTCCCTTCTTCACAGAGACAAGCACTCTAGTGTGAAAGTCAACATAGAACTAGTTACTAGATGATTCCAGAACAGACAGTTTATTACAATTTTTTTTGTCCTTTAGAGACAGCTGGTCTGGAATGTGCTATGTAGACCAGGCTGGCCTCGTACTCACAAAAATCCATCTGCCTCTGCCTCCCAAATGCTGGGATTAAAGGTATGGACCACCATGCCAGACAATTTTATTACATTTAAAATCACTTTCCCTTTCTTTCTTTCTTTCTTTCTTTCTTTCTTTCTTTCTTTCTTTCTTTCTTTCTTTCTTTCTTTCTTTCTTTCTTTCTTTCCCTTTCCTTTTCCCTCTCTCCTCCCCTTCTTTCCTTCCTTCCCTCCCTCCCTCCCTTCTTCCTTTCTTTCTTTCCTGGCACCACCTGCTGTCTTCCTCTAACTTTGAGTCAACCACATGACTCAAGGTCTTGTGAGTGGTTATTGTGTGTGACACAGCATGTGAGTAGAAGTCAGAGGACAACTTGTAGAAGCTGGTTGTCTCCCTCCACTATATGGGTCCTGGGACTGAACTCAGGTCATCAGTACTGGCAGCAAGCATCTTTTTACCTATTGAGCTGTTTTGGCCGCCCCAGAGCATTTTTTTAAGCAAGTCATCATCAGCCCTAGTATAAACTCTCCATCTCTCCAGTGAGAGATTCACCATACTTGTGCTATGGGATATTGCGTGTCTGTAAAAACCAGTGGACAGGTTGAGTGTGGTGGTGCACGCCTTTAATCCCAGACCTTGGGAGGTAGAGGCAGGCGAATCTCTGTGAGTTCAAGGCCATCCTGGTCTACATAGTGAGTTACAGGTCAGCTGGGGCTCCAGGAAGACCCCGTCTCAAAAAGATCAAAACAAAACAAAACAAAATAAAGAAAACAAAACAATAAAACTAATGGACAGACCCTAAATTGGAAGATACTGTGCCTAAGATGGGCTTGCAGCATGCTCTCTGATACGATTAGCCATAGATTTCAAGAGATGGATCCGTGTAGTGATCTACATATATATGTATTTGAGCACTTCTTGTATGCCATGCACTAGGCTAGTCACCGAGACACAGTGAGTTTTGAAACATGTTACCTGTTACAAGGGACAGCGTAGTGGGTAAGAACAATTTCCCCGAGCCTTAGTTCCTCGTGTTTAAAATGATGCTTGTTTCTACAGTCACATGTCAAGGGAAGATGGAAATCAGGATTGTTCTAGTTTGTTCTTCATTGCTGTGACAAAATACTCTGACCAATACCAACTTGGGGAGGAAAGGGTTTATTTGTCTTACATCTCCCAGGTCACAGTTCATTTGGGAGCCTGAGGTAGGAACTCAGGGCAGGAACCTGGAGGCAGGAGCTGGAGCACAGGCCATGGAGGAACGCTGCTTACTGGCTTGCTCCCCTGGCCCCTGCTCAGCCTGCTTTCTTATGCAACACAGGCCCACCTGCCCAGGGGTGACACCACCCACAGTGGGCTGGGCCCTCCCACACCACTCATCAAGAAGATGCCCCTCAGACATGGCCACAGGCCAGTCCTATGGAGGAAATTCCCCAATTGAGGCTCCCTCAACCCAGGTGTGTCAAGTTGACACTAAAGCTGTCCAGCACAATGATGGTATAACTTGCCTCTGATTTGCAACATGAGCTGTGTCAGACCAGGACAGGCGCGATGCAGAAGAGCCATGACTCAGGGTGATGGTCTCTGTGCTGATTTCGATTTTCATATTTTCATGTTGGAAATAAAATCCCAGTTTTCCAAAGTAGGTGCTTAGTTTTCCGTTCTCGGGCTTTTTGGCACCAATAAGCTGACCATTGACTAAAATCCCTGTAGAAGAAAAGATGTCTTTCTCTCTCATGCACCACCTGTTTATAACGCATGTGTGGGCACCGCAATTTGCATTTGTATAAGTTGACAAGTTGAGAAAATTATTATTTTGTTCCATAATTGAAATATTTCCTTTATATATCTCTTGCTACTGTTAATACGTTTTATCATAAAGTAATTAAATCAAAATAACACCAGCAAGTTCATGCTCTGAATATATATTTTGAACACTAATTGCCTAAAATAATATAGTCATAATTTAATTTCTCAGCAGTTATCAAAGTTTTAAAACTATAGAACTTCTATTAAGATGAGAAAGGAGTCCCAGGCAGCACAGGGAGGCATGGCAATTATGTGATTATTTAATTAAAACGTAATCTTTTTTTTTTTTTTTTACCTAATTCTGGATCAGACACCAGGCTAAGGATTTTTCCAGGTTTTGAGTCAATATTGAAACAAATATTCTTTTGGCTTTTTGGCAGGTAAATGATGAAATGTGGGTCGTTTTCCACTGAAAAACATACAAGGAAAATGAAAACATATGACATTGTGAAAAAAAAGAAGACGACTTTTGTCACTGTTAGTTTTTGAGATAGGAGCTTGTGATGTAGCCCAAGCTGTCTGTGAACTTGGGTCGTTTTGCCACAACCTCCTCAGCTCAGAGTACAGGCATGGACCTCCACTCCTTATATTTCCCTTCATCCCACAAACCATCAAGTTCATGCTAGGTGATCAACAAACACTTGATTTCTTGATTTATGTCAAAGTTAGGCACTAGATGGCATTGTTAAAGTCTAAAACAAATGCTTCTTTTAACTTGATAAGGCTAAAAATAGATTGAAGCTCTCCATAGCAACTTTACACATTCCCGAGAACCTAAGGTCAAACAGTAGCTGGAGTTTATTGAACTTCTACAAGATATGATATAAATATCTATAAATCCCATATTATAGATGGGTTAACTGAGACCCGGAGAGGCGTCAGTGTATGGCCCATGGTCATGTGGGCAGAATTTGACTCTAAGACAGTCTGACTTAAGGGCAGCCTTTTTACATCATACAGAAGAGACTAGAAATGTGTAAGAAGTCTTGCATTCTTCCTGGGAAGAGCACTTTAAAGTAGACAGTCCACATTAGCTTTCTGCAAAAGCTTTACTCTGCAAAGAGTGGCTCACGCTGTGCGTCGTAGCCCTTGGAGCCATTCACTGTACTCTTCCACACTGGTTCCTCTTCAAGAGTGTGGATATAAGGCTCTCTATCAACAAAAAAACAGGAGTAGAAAATTGTTTGGGGCCCACAATAATACTTTTACAGATAAGCCACAGCAGCAAGACAAGATCACTTAACCAGTTCACTCAATGTCCTTCTGAGTTTCCTTTATTATGAAGTGATGTTTGGTGTGTGCAGATAAACTCTTGGAATGTTTCTTCTATTTTGTTCTGTTAGGAGATGAAACCCAGGGCTTTGCACATGCTAGGCACTACCACTGACTGACACCCTCAGCCATTACTTTTGTAAGACAAGATATTGCTAGTGGTCCAGATGGACCTCAAACCTATGATTCTCCTGTATCCACCTCCTGAGTGCAGGGATTTCAAGTGTGTGCCACTCACCCAGTCTGGAGTTAATCTTTATTTTTACAAAATTATTATATTTTGTGTCTGGAGAGATGGCTCAGCGGTTGAGAGCACTGGCTGCTCTTGCAGAGGACCTGGGTTTGATTCCAGGCACCCACATGGTGGCTAACAACCATCTGTAACTCTGGTTCCAGGGCTCTGACGCCCTCTTCTGATCTCCTTGGGTATTGCATGACACAGGTGCACTTACATACATTCACACATAACACTCATACACATAAAAATAAAAGATTTTTTATTTTTAAATTTTATTTATTATGTTTATGGCTGTCGGATCCCCTGGAACTGGAGTTACAGACAGTTGTTAGCTGCCATGGGGGGTTCTGGGATTCAAACCCGGGTCTTTTCCAAGAACAACCAGTGTTCTTAACCACTGAGCCACCTCTCCAGCCCCCATAAAAGATTTTTTAAAAGTTACTTAAAGTCCTCTGCAAGAGCAGCCTGTGCTCTTAACCGCTGAGCCATCTCTCCAGCTGAATTTCTCTGATACTTTGATATGAAAGTCTATTACAGGGAGTCTAGAAATCTGCACTTTCAACAGGAACTACCCTTCTGTTTCTGTTTCAAACAACTCCAGTTCAAGTTCCTCAGTACCTCCTGTAGGGAGAGGGGCTGGTGCTCTTGCTGAACGCTGAAAGTCCTTCGTATAAGAAAAAGAAAGAAAAGCACACACAGCCTTTCTCGGGGACTGGATGACAGCCAGGCAGTTGTGATCTCTGGGCAAAGGCAGCAGTTCAGGGAGCCTGGTAAACTGAGGCGGAAAGTCTGGGCCAACCTCCAGCTGCATTTGCTTTTAGTTTTCTTTCTGTCGACTTTAACAAACACTAACTATGAGGGTCACACAGCTGAACAATATAATTTTAGTCTCTCTCTAGCTTTGCTGTAGCTAATACCCTGATGCATATGTCATGATGAGAACAGCTGCCTCACTTCTCAGAAACTGGAAGCTCTCTTTTGTTGAAACCACTGACTCTTCCCTTGGACTTGCCCAGTATGTCTGATGGGTGACCTTATGATATCAGAGGGCTCACATTGCATCCTCAGATGATGCTAACACTTCCATTTTCTGAATGTGTGTTCCACAGTTAGGACGATTATGTGTAGTCCGTATAGATTCCTTCACCTCCAATCATCTTTCTTCACACACTGAGTCATTCTATGTCTTTGTCCTATAGTTATCCCCAAATCCAAAGGGAGGTGGGTTTGAGATTTTGGTGCATTGCTTCCTCATACTTGGCCACTAGATTTGTAAGTAAACTCTATCTTTTGCAAAACTGATCACTTTGGTGACTGACAGGTAGGTAAATCGCACGCTTCTGTAACTCTGGGATCAGGAGAGAAGATGCATTTCATTTTCTTCCTCCAAGTGGTGCCTATGTCTCATGCTAAGAGGGAACATACCACAGAGGTTGATAACTGCTCAATGGAGTCACAGGGCCCAAACTCCAAAGAATACATGCATGTAACTGGCTTTCAGACGGTCACATCTAATATACGTGCCTCCCATGTATTGTTATGCAGGAAGCGTTGATGCATTTTAGATCATAAATTGATAGTTCCTACTCAGCAATAACGTCCACTCACTGGGCAGCTGGTAAGTGCAGGTGCTGTTCTATACATGATTTCACATTTAATCAACAACTACTCAGCCTGTCATGGAAGTGAAACCGTGCTCCGTTAGTCCATTCCCATGAGAACAGCATCTCTTATTGCAGAAGGTTCATCTCATACAGCTGGGAACTAAATTGACTTCCTCCAAATTCATATACTGAGGCCTAATTCTCAATGCGACGGTATTTAGGCATGAGGCTTTGGGAAGTCACTAATTTCCATGAAGATATGAGGCCCCATTGATGAGACTAGCACCCAAAGAAAAAGGTACACCAGAACGCATTCTCTCTCTCCCTCTCCCCAACTCTTTCTCTCTCCCTCCCTCTCTCCCTCCCTCCCTCTCCTCTATTTCCTCTTCTAGTGCATACAGAGAAGGCATCATAGGAGCACCTAGGTACAAGGCAGCCAACTACAAACCAAGGAAAGATGCTTCAGAATGAAAATCCACCTTGATCTTGGCCATTCATCTCCGGCCAACAGAATGAGATAAATGAATGTCTGTGACTCAGATGCCTCAGTTTTGGGTATTTTCTTATGACAGCTGCAGCAAAGGAATGCATGGAGCTGTTCTTTCAATAGAAGACAATGATGCTTGTAAGAGTTATCTTGTCCCCTAGGAAATGGTGGGTTTATTAATCTATGGAGATGTGCACCAGGTTCTCGTGGGTTTAGAAAAAGGAAATGCTCTTACCTCTTATCACGTGTGGAGGGGGCGTGGACTCAAGTGGCTTAGCTCCTACTGCAAGCATGGCCATCACTGGTGTTGGAGATGGGTTGGCCCAAGATGGGATGGAGCCTGAAGCGACTTTGCTGCCATAATACAGGGCTCCTGTGTGGAAGAACCACATCCATTTGTTCCCAGGTTCACTCTTCCATAGAAACTGCACAATTTTAAGGATATGTGTTTTGTACCCTCCTTTCCCCAGCCAGTGGTTCCTAGCTAAGGCTTTTCCCTTCTCCTGCTTTAAAAAAATTTTTATTTATTATTTTTATTTTATTTTTTATGTGTGTGCATTGTCTGCATGTAGGTAAGTCCACCTGTGTCATGCAATGCCCACAGAGGACAGAAGAGGCTGTCGGATCCCCTGGAACTGGAGTTACGGACAGTTGTTAGCTGCCATGTGGATGATGGGATTCGAATCCAGCTCTTCGGCAAGAACAGTCAGTGTTCTTAACCCGAGCCTTCTCTCCATCCTCCCCCTCCCCACTTTTTAAAACGCAGAGATAGACATCAAAATTCGGATTTTGCACTTGCAAAGTAAGCATTCTACCACTGACTTACAACCTACATTTGCTGTCTTTTTATTTTGGAATCCTCTCTCTTATTCTTTCTGACATTGTGCTGCAGGAGGCTCCAATACAGTTATTGTGGCACCCAAGACTATACAGGGGTCTGCAGTAGAAGGAACCCCTCTGCTGGGCACAGTGACACAAGCATATAATCCTAGCACTCAGGAGGTGGATGCAGGAAGACCACGAATTTAAGGTCATTCTGGTTAGATAGAGAGCAATTAGTTTGGCGCCCACTAGAACAAAATTAAAAACTCCGAGGATCCCTGTATTGTATGAAGGCTATTCTCAAGACTTTGCAGGACTATGGATAGTTTTCCTCCCTACGAAGGAGGGAAAGGAACCAGTAAATCAGAGGTCCTTTTAGCCTTGGCTACGCACACCCTTGGACATTTCCGGAACCTTTCTATGATCATTTTCAAGGATGTTTCTAGATCCTCAGCTTCCATATACACTCTTTTCTATGAAGTGTGTGTGTGTGTGTGTGTGTGTGTGTGTGTGTGTGATGTATCTGTGTGCTTGTGTGCATGCAGGTGCACATGTGTGTGGAGGCAAGAGGCCAACCTTGGTGTTGTTCCTCAGCAATTGTCCACCTTGTGCTTTGAGGCAGAGTCTCTTACTGGGACCTATGCATATCTGATTTAGGATAGGCTGGCTGGCCAGCAAACCCCAGGGATTCTCCCATCTCTGCCTCCCCAGTACTGGGCTTATACCTGCTTGCTGGGTATTGAAATCAGGCCCTCATACTTGCAAAACAACCACACTTGCAAAACTTAGCCATCTCCTTAACCCTTTTTTCCTAAGAAATTCATACGTTTCCCCTGCTTCCCCAACCAGACATTCCAGGAACCAAAGCACGAGTTAAAATGGTGCAGTGCCAAGAAAAGAAGGAATGCATTGCCTCTGATGAATCCTTTCTCAAGTAAGCTGCTTTCCCATCCTTTGCTTCATTAGGGTTAAAGGACTCACACTGTAAGGCGATACACCATTAAAGTTTTTCTTTTTAAATATTTTATTTATTATTTTTATTTTATGTGTATGTGTGTATTGCCTGCATGTAGGTAAGTGCAACCGTGTCGTGCAATGCCCGGGGAGGACAGAGGAGGCCGTTGTTCCCCTGGAACTGGAGTTACAGACAGTTGTTAGCCGCCATGTGGGTGCTGGGATTCAAACCTGGGTCCTCTGAAAGAACAACCAGTGTTCTTAACCCCTGAGCCATCTCTCCAGCCATTGTTTTGCTTTTTGAAAATACTTTACTTTGCCGGGCGTGGTGGCACGCACCTTTAATCCCAGCACTTGGGAGGCAGAGGCAGGTGGATCTCTGTGAGTTCGAGGCCAGCCTGGTCTCCATAACGAATCCAGGCCAGCTAGGGCTACAGGGAGACCTTATCTCAAAAAGACCAAAACAAAACAAAACAAAACTTTATTGTATTTTTTGACAGGGTCTCCGGTAGCCCCAGCCTACCTGTAACTCACTATGTAGACCAGGCTGGCCTTGATCTCACAGAGATCCTCCTGCCTCTGCCCCCTGAATGCTGGGACTAAAGATGTGTGCTACCATGCCCATGGCATTTAATATATATATATTTAAATATTTTATTATTTTTATTTTATGTGTGTGAGTGTATTGCCTGCATGTATGTGAGTGCATTATTTTAATTTAAAATATATGAGTGAATTGCCTGCATGTACGTAAGTGCATCCATGTTGTGCAATGCCCATTGAGGACAGAAGAGGGCATTGGGTCTCCTGGGAGTGGAGTTACAGACCATTGTTAGCCACCATGTGGGTGCTGGGAACTGAAACCTGGGTCCTCTGTAAAAGCAGCCAGTCCTTTTAACCACTGAGCCATTGCTCCAGCTCCTGTTTTTTGAGATAGGGTCTTGCTATGTAGCTGAGGCCTTGAATTCACTATGCAGCTCAGAGTGGCCTGAAATTCCCAATCCTCCTGCTTCAGCCTCTGGAATTCTGGGATTCAGGTGCCTGTCACTTGTCAAAGTTGAAGGAACAAGCTTGGACGCTTAGGGACACAAGCTGAGAGCAACGTATGAGGTGGGGATGGGAGACAGCAGGTGCTGAGCCGTCAACATGAGATAAGAAGGTGGCTCTGAATTGTTGCCCCACCAGGACCCAAAGCACTGACCTGAGCAGCAAGAATGATCCTGCGGTGGGGCATCAGCTAGCATGCGCTCGTCCCCAGCATCATTCTCAATCACCATGGCAGTGAGCGGGGTCACAATATGATGCTCTAGAGACATCTGCAGGATTGTTTTTGTGATTTTCCTTTTGATGGCAGCTGTAGGAGCCAGACTTCTAAATTCAGGAGACAGAAATTGAAGAACATTGCATCACTATACCTAAGGGTAAACTCATGCCCCATACTTTCCATCCTTCCTTCTGATATGTCAGCCAAGACCTGGGCAGAGAGTGAGTGTGCCTAAGGCAAGAGAGAAACAGAACTAATTGGGTTTCTATTTGTTTTTCATTGTATTGTGTTGTGTGTGTGTGTGTGTGTGTGTGTGTGTGTGTGTGTGTGTGTCTGTATGCTTCTGGGCCATGGTATGTGTATGGAGGTCAGAGGACACCTTGTGAATCCTGGTTCTTTCCTATCATGTAGACCCAGGGATCAAACTCAGGTCAGCAGGTTGGCAGACAAGCACTTTCATCCCCTGAGCCATCTCACTGGCCCCTCAAGGGATTATTTCTAGAGATTTAATTTTTCAACCCACAGCCTACTCAACTATGGATGTCTCATATTAGAGTTGTAGGTACAGTTGTGACTACTGATGAACATGCATTGAAATATAAATTAGTAACTTACATTAGTGTTTAATCTAAGTGTTATATGATTGTGGATAAATAGACATACACATATTGCAGTATTCTATGGAATAGTTTCACTGCCCTAAAATGCTCTCCTCTATGCACTGCCCTCTCCCCTGAACTTTTGGCAACCATTGATCTTTTCACAGGGCTTAAGAAAAAAATCAATATTTGACTTCTGCAGCAAATATCTCCATGCCTTTAAGTAAGTACAGCCAATGTACTTCTGCTCAATGGGCAGGGATATTTCTTGCTGACTTCAAAGCCACGTGTTTTTTTTTTTTAATAATCTTAACAAAATCAAGGATTTTCTCTGTGAGTTCAGTTATGCAATGGTTGCAGGGTTTTTTTTTTTTTGGGGGGGGGTCGTCTTTTTGTGACAGGATTTCCCTTTAGCCCCAACTGGGCTGGAACTCACTGTGTAGACCAGGCTGGCTTTGAACTCACAGAGATCCACCTGCCTCTGCCCCCCAGGAGCTGGGATTAAAGGTGTGTGCCACCACGCCTGGCCAGGTTACAGTTTTTGTAATCTAGTCCCTGTGACCTTATTCTATCGTTCCAGGAGTCTGATCTAATTAGTGGAGTGGGAGGTTTTTGAATTATAACTTCTGGCAAATATCACCGTGAAATTGTGATGCACATGGCAACGAAGCATGCATCAGTTTAGCAACAGGTTTTAATGCTAGAGAGCTGAGATGCAGCTTGAGTGAGAAGGCAGAGGTGATATGGATGAGTATTAGAGTCTTTCTTTAGGGACTGTCATAGTCACATAGTCAGAAATTTCTCTTTGGACCTGTTTACAGGAGTATATGTAAGATGGGTGTGGTGGCAGATACACTTAATCCCTGCACTCAGGAGGCAGAAGCAGGCAGATCTCTGTGAGTCTGAGGTAGCCTGATCTACATAGTGAACTCCAGCACTGCCAGAGCTACATAGTGAGACACTATCTCAAGAAACATAAACAAAAAAGAGTCAATGTAAATGGACTGACCACACACTTGGCTGAATCTAGTAGGTACTATACTGACTGAAAGAAGTCAGAAACCGATGGTGTGGTTATGTGAAACAGCAACAGGCAAAACCAATTGATGGCATTAGATGGCAGCACAGTGGTTTCCCCAGGAAGAAGGAAGGAGAGTAAGGGGGACCGTTCACAGTTCTATATCTAGATCCGGACTGTGGTTAGATAGGCGATGTATGTAAAAATCCATTAAACTGGACACTTGAAATTAATGCATTCCACACACTCCTTATTTATGTAGGAAGTGCTGGCATGGTGGTACACACCTTTAGTCCCAGCACTTGGGAGGCAGAGGCAGGTGGATCTCTGTGCGTTCAAGGTCAGCCTGGTCTACATAGCAAGTTCCAGGCCAGTTGGGGCTACAGGAAGACCCCTGTCTCAAAAAGACCCCCCCCCCGAAAAAAATCAGTAAATAAAAAGGAAGAAAAGAGGTAGCTGAGCTTTTGTTAAAGTTCTGGGAGCCAGTAGATGTCAGTAATAATCCACTCTCTCTATTAGTTTGATGCTGTCTTGGTTCCAAATACTTTCTGTGCATGTCTTCAAATAGTCTATTTTGGTTGTTTTGCTTTGTAGTACTTGGGATTCTACCTAGAGCCTCGTGCCTGCTAGGTAGGCAGATGCTTTGCCACTGAGCTATATCGCCAGCCTTGACTTCAGAAATTCCAGAGGAACATTTCACCTTTGCAGGTCTCCATGGATCTTCTCTCCTTACCTCTCAGCTAGCAGTTGGTTGATTGTGAGATAGGCCCATAGTTTCTTGGTGAAGTCAGGGTCTGCATGCTTGTCTTTTGATAGAAAATCTTCCAAGTCATCCATCTGGCTCAGAGTTTCCAAGACTAGCTCTGTGTTAGTCTGGACAACGAAAGGGTCAGTTGGTGGACACCCAGGGGATCAGGATTACAGGTAATTCATGTTTGTAGTATCTGCTGTGCATGTATGAGGAAGAGAACCTCTGCTGGGTGGGTTAGGTGCATAAACACCAGAGACTGGGATTGGGTTTGGGTGAAGATTTATAGAATGGTTGAAAAGATGGGAGATGTTTTTGTCATAGCAGAAAAAAATCCTCCATTTTGTCCTGGGCCAGTCCTGACTCCAGGCTGTATCTATCTGCTTTGCCATTCTTCCCAGCAACACATCGGCTTTTCACAACCCTGACTATGGCCTGCAAGTATAATGAAAACAACTTCTAAAGTATACCCGAATAACTACTGCAGCAAGGTCTCTCTGACTTCTTTCTGGTCCAAACCGCTATTGTGATTTTTGCGGTTTTTGCCTTTATAAACTCTGTACCCCTGAGGTTCAATGCTGAGAGATTTTCAAGGGCCCTGGCCACTCTCCGTCGTGCACTAATAAAGGACTCCTTTTCCTTTTAATTGGCTTATGCATTCGATGGGGATCTGTATTCCTTGCCTTTTAATCCCGCTTCTGTTCTACACAGGTGAGGCTATCAATGCAGGGTATTAGCTGGTTAACAGGGACCGTGGCTGTGCCCAAGGGACCGGTTAGTACTTTTAGACTAAGCAAGGAAGCAGAGCTACCGAAGTGGCCGTGACGATGCTCTCTACTTCTGTTATTTTACTGGGGTCGAATCTTCCCGCCACCAAAATCTCTGAGCCTCCAAAGTAGTTGTGGAAACTGTTTTGAGTGACATCGGTTACTGATGCTTGGGGATAGTTAAACTGAACATTCCTCAGCAGTGGAGTAGAGACCTGGTTGTAAAATTTCTACAATGTACAGAAAAGAGGAAAAATATAAAGAGTTATCCGCATACCTTTGTAGATCTAAAGTATTTTTCTTTGAGGCTCTACACACAATTAGCAGATATCTCTTCATTTATTCACGTGGCTCTCTGGAATGATTAACGTTCCCATGGTTATTAGCTTTGAGACACTGACAATAGAGTTGATAGGAAGCTGCCTACAACTGAGGAACCTGCTGTTTTCCCCCATTTCTTATGATCAGCATGAAAAATCCATGGACGTGCATAATAATAAAAGTTATCCGGGTTGAAATTACCCACATCAGAGCCAGATGTCTTACCCAGTCTAAGCTTTAAATATGGTGCCATGTCCTGGCATCGTTTGGTGCTCCACTCAATGAAACGAAACACACAAGCCACAAAGGAGGATGTAAACCTAATATTTTTTTCTAGTTTCTATCTCATCATAGTTTTTTTGTGGTAGATAAGCAAATAAAAATGTAATTGATACTGAAAGTGTAAAACTTCAGCAAAACTTCATTGATTCAAAATGGCCATTCTAACTGTATAAAATTCACTGAGCTGTATAGTTTGGGACCGGGCAAGTGTTTGAGTGACTTCCTTGAACTGTGTAATGTTTTTATTTGTGAGTTATGTAGAATAAAGTGATTTTATTTAAAAAATAAAATAATACCGTGTGTGTGCATGTGTGCGTGTGTGTGTGTGTGTGTGTGTGTGTGTGTGTGTGTGTTTGAGATAGCATCTCATTATGTAGCCTTGGCTGGCCTAGAACTTGCTATGCAGACCAGGCTAGCTTCCAGCTCACAGGGATACACCTGCCTCTGCCTCCTGAGTGTTGGGATATTAAAGGCATGTGACACCACACTCACTGGGTGTGGCGGTGCACACCTTTAATCTCAGGCAGAGGTGGATGAGTCTTTAGGAATTTGAGGCCAGCTTGGTCTACGTAGTGAGTTCTAGGCCAGCTGGGGATACAGGGAGACCAAGAGAGAGGAAGAGAGAGAGGGAGAGAGAGAGAGACAGAGACACAGAGACAGAGAGAGAGACAGAAAGACAGCAAGACAGAGAGAACTTAGACATGGTTTTGTCCATTCTATATTATAAAATGATACGCAAAACGTCAATGCACTTCAAAGAGAAAAGAGGCGGCTATGGTAATGGGATGAGAAATTGCTCATGGGGTTACAGAGGTGGCGGAAGCTTGAGGTTGAGGGTGAGGGTCAGGCCTCCACACTAGTATGCAGCTCAGGCCCTCACTGCTTCACGTCTCACTCACTGCTCGTGGAGAAATCCGTGCAGGAGAATGTGTGAGAAGACAATTGAACACTTCCTTGAGTTTTGTTTTGTTTTGTTTTAGATAGAGTCTCCCAATAGCCCCATATGGCCTGGAACTCACTACGCAGAGCAGGCATCTCACAGAGATCTGCCTGCCTCTGCCTCCTGAGTGCTGGGACTAAAAGCGTGTGCCACCACGCCTGGCTACTTCCTTGAATTTTATGAGCAAATATAATAACAATTTTGAGCTCAGTTCAGGTGTCTTCTGAGGAAATCAGATACGGGTAGAGGGATGATTTTTCAGGAAGGGAGAAAAGAATTTGCAAGAAAATGTTACCTTGAGCTGGGAGGACGTGTCCTGGTTCCCATAGATCCTTTGCGCAATGCCTCGGTTTTCGTTGGACAGTCTTTTCAAAAAGTCATAGTCGACATCAAATCCTATCCCCAGACTGAACAGGGAGATGTTGTCTTGTATGTTCTGCTTTACATTTTTCTGAATTTTGGACAATTTTAGTTCACCTGAAGTTGGCAGTGACAGAAAAGAAAGAGGAACCAGTGTAAAAAGGCCTGTGGAATCCCTAATGAGGAGGGTTTAGAAAATGTATCAGAATTCAAAATAGATTTACCCTTTGGCCCAGTAACTTAAATTCCAGATTTTTTTTTTTAAACAGGGTCTCCCTGAAGCCCCAACTGGCCTGGAACTCGCTATGTAGATCAGGCTGGACTTGAACTCACAGAGATGGGCCTGCCTCTGCCTCCCGAGTGCTGGGACTAAAGGTGTGTGCCACCACGCTTGGCTGTTTTGTTTTACAAATGCACTTACACATGTTGGGCTGAAGTAGCAATGTTGTTTGGCTATCCCGACATACTGGAAAGAACCTAAATGTTTACTCACAGGGTAAACTTGGTTAGACTGTGGTTCAGTTGAGCAGGAAAATACCACACAGTCGCTCTTTATGTATTTATAGTGAATAATCTCAAAAACATTTTAATTTTTTTTGAAAAAGAATATGTAGGTTTATTTTACACATTTGGTTGAAAAGTAAATTCAAGAAAGTAAAATTTAATATGCACTCATCAGCCCCGAAGGAGGTGGTGCTCGATTTGGAGGGGTGATTGCTATGTCCAGATAGTCACCTATTTGGGACTTCTGTGACTGCAGGGCCATGGAATCATCAGTTCCCTTTAAAAATATGGAACGCTTCATGAATTTGTATGTCATCCTTGGGCAGGGGCCAGGCTAATCTTCTCTGTATTGTTCAAATTTTAGTATATGTGCTGCTGAAGAGGGCACGCATTTTAGTATTTTTATTAGCATGTTAATTCTATGTAATAATGGGTTTCATTATGACATTAAAATACAGTAACCCTTTGATCCAATAACTCAAACTCTAGAAAGTTTTTTTTTTCTTTTTCACAGATGTCCTCATATATGCTGAATTGACATGTGGGCAGTCATGCACAGCAACATTATTTGGCTATTTTCATCCACGTACATATTTACCCTATTATCCCTCTTTTGTACTCCTACTCCTGCTAAGCCCCTTTGTCTTTCCAGTTAGCCCCCTTCTAGCTTGATGTTCAAAGACATGAGTGTATGTGTGTGTGCGTGTGTGTGTGTGTGTGTGTTTGTGTGTGTGCATGTGTGTGGTATATATGTGAGATATGTGAGTGTGCAGATGCTCACAACTGTGGGCATACATCTGGAAGCCAGAGGACATCAGGTGTCTCCCTCTATCATTCTTCATCTTTGTGCCTTGAGACAGGAGTCTCTCACTGAACTGGAAACTTGTAGTGTTTAGGCTGGCTGGCCAGCCAACTCCTGGGACCCTCCTGTGACACCCACTCCCAAACACTAAAGTTACAAGCCGCCATGCCTCCCCACCATGATAGACTCTCGTTCCTCTGGAGCCCATAAGCCCAAGTTGCCTTGGTCACGGTGTTTTATCACAGCAACAGAGAAGTAACTAATGCAATGCCTTCCATCTTTCATTACTTTTCATTGTGTGAATATAAATCTTCTACTACATTAAAAAAAAACGATCACAACTAGGCACTTGTGGGTCTGAAGACTTTCTTGCAGAAGTTGGGGTTTAAAATACTTTAGAAATGCAGGCCTATGTCATTGGAGTTCACACAATGAGCAAGTTACATTCCTAAGAAGCAACAGCAACAATATTTGTCAATAGAAAACTGAACTGACACTTGCCTACTGTTGGATCTCCATCAGAAACCAAAATGATCAGCGAGACTGAGCTGGGGTCCAACAATCCCAAATTATTCGCTTCATTCAAAATGAAGATCGCTCGCAGCAGTGCTTCGTTGATATTTGTGCCTGTTAAAGTGACATGATGTGCTTTCCATGTGCCTTTCTCCCCCCCTCCTCTCTCTCATACAAATCACAACTTGAATTCAAGTTTGTCTGTCTTCTCTCTTCAGCAGTGCTTCGTTGATATTTGTGCCTGTTAAAGTGACATGATGTGCTTTGCATGTGCCTTTCTCCCCCCCCTCTCCTCTCTCTCTCATACAAATCACAACTTGAATTCAAGTTTGTCTGTCTTCTCACTACTTATATATAATTCATTCAACATCAAAATCATTTGATTTCTTTCTTTCTTTCTTTCTTTCTTTCTTTCTCTCTCTCTCTTTCTTTCTTTTTCTTTTTTTTATTTTTTAAATTTTTTTATTTTTTTGAGACACAATCTCCCTGTAACCCCAGCTGGCCTGGAACTCACTTTGTAGACCAGGCTGGCCTCAGTCTCACAGAGACCTGCTTGCCTCTGCCTCCTGAGTGCTGGGATTGAAGGCGTGTGCCACCATGCCCAGCATCTTGTATGTATTTTAAATGCTAATTTTAACACAATAAATTTTTGAGGCCAAATAATTACTAGGAATCAAAATGTTTCTTAGTGCCTTCAAAATTTGCTAGAATAAGTTACTCACTGTTGAAGGATATGGCTAGGAAAATATTTTGGTCTTCTCTCTCTCCTCTCTCTCTCTCTCTCTCTCTCATACAAATCACAACTTGAATTCAAGTTTGTCTGTCTTCTCTCTCTCCTCTCTCTCTCTCTCTCTCTCTCATACAAATCACAACTTGAATTCAAGTTTGTCTGTCTTCTCTCTCTCCTCTCTCTCTCTCTCTCTCTCTCATACAAATCACAACTTGAATTCAAGTTTGTCTGTCTTCTCTCTCTCCTCTCTCTCTCTCTCTCTCTCTCATACAAATCACAACTTGAATTCAAGTTTGTCTGTCTTCTCTCTCCTCTCTCTCTCTCTCTCTCATACAAATCACAACTTGAATTCAAGTTTGTCTGTCTACTAACTACTTATATATAATTCATTCAACATCAAAATCATTTGATTTCTTTCTTTCTTTCTTTCTTTCTTTCTTTCTTTCTCTCTCTCTCTTTCTTTCTTTTTCTTTTTTTTATTTTTTAAATTTTTTTATTTTTTTGAGACACAATCTCCCTGTAACCCCAGCTGGCCTGGAACTCACTTTGTAGACCAGGCTGGCCTCAGTCTCACAGAGACTACCTCTGCCTCCTGAGTGCTAGGATTAAAGGTGTGAGCCACCATTCCTGGCAGGATTAATGATTCTTAAGTGGACCAAGAATGAATGAACCTTCTGGAAGTTTCCTTGTAGGCTTTAGGCCAAACCCACTTACCTCCACTAGGTTGGATTTTCTCAATGTATCTCTTGGCATCTGCAGTTTGTGTTTTAGTAGCTGAAACTAAATCATTTCTCCAGGTTCGAACATTGTGGTTAAAATCAACCACAGAGAACTGGTCCTCGGTTCTCAGGTCATCCAATATGGTTTTCATTGCTTCCACAGTCTACTTGAAACAAGAACCCAGAAAAGTCTCATTACATAAACTCCAAGACTAAGAAGACGCTAGGAAGACCTGTCCTTGGTCCTAGTCATCCTCGAAGTGCTGGCCCAAGATAAACTTAAAGAAAACTTTTGTAAATCACTTCAGTCAGCACAGACCTGTCCCTTATATGTTCTGAATATGTATTGTTGGACTTGGGATACTCAAAATTTGCCTATCTTCTTAATTTTTTCTTGTAATTACTTCCTTTCCAATTTGATTGATCCTAGAGTAAGTTAATCATTACAAAGTTGAGATACTCCCTCAGTGTTGCCTGACACATAGTACGCACTTCACAAATATTTGTTGAATGAAGGAAGAAAAGAAAGAAGCAATGAATAAACAACTGTTTCTAGAGTGATGACTTTTTAAAACAGGGGCAACTGGCGCTGGAGAAATGGCTCAGCAGTTAAGAGCACTTACTGCTCTTGCAGAGGACCCGGGTTCAAAATCCCCACACCCACACAGTGGCTAACAACAGTCTGTAATTCCAGTTCCAGGGGACCTGACACCCTCTTCTGGCTTCTGTGGGCATTGCATGACACGGGTTTACTCACATACACGCAGGCATAACACTCACACACCTAAAATAAAAATAAGTAATACAGTTTAATTGGGGCAACTCTTCTCTCAGGAGCCAGTGGGCAGTGCTTACACCTGTGTATGTGCTTGCATATGGAGGCCAGGGGTCAGCCTCAGGCTTCCTTCCTCGGGTGCCATCCACATTGGTTTTTGAAACAAGGACTCTCATTGGCCTGATACTTGCTGATTATGTGACGCTGGCAGACCTGTGAGACCCCGGGGGTCTGCCTGTCTCTGCCTCCCTAGCACTGGGATTACAAACACATGCCACCATGCCTGAGTTTTTCTTGTAGATACAGGGACTCAAACTCAGGTTGTCATACATGCATTACAGGGGCTTTATCAACTGCTCTGTCTTCTCAGCTCATTTTAATTGTCATGACCAGCATGGAGACTGTGCACAAAATGATAGGCATATGACGAATTTTAAAAGTGGATTGTTACTAATGGTAAGATATTAAAGTTAAACATTAACCTGAGAAGTGCTCAGAGTGAGAAGAGGTTATACAGAGATCAAACTTTTTGAAAGGCAAGTTTTGAGACACAGAATAAGAAAGAGAGGGAAGAGGAAGAAGGACGTCGGGAGCCAAGGATTTTCACAAGGAAGCGTTGATGGGGGGTATCGGCCCAGTGAACACACGGTAATCTCACAGCCTTGGGAAAAGTTCACAGCCTCGATATGTAATCAGTTTCTGAGTTTTAGCTCAAGGTGGGGAGTCAGGGAGGGCCTCAAACTATTACATTGTCAAGGTAGGTGGGAATACCACCTACCTCTGTAAACAAGGAGTACTTGCCTGTTTCATCTTAATTCCCCACATTGAGCCACTAACATCGATAACAAAAAGGATGTTTTTAGGAATTGGCTCCAGGTTCTCAGGAGCAAAGAAGTGCACAAAATAGCCGTTAAATACCTGAAAAGTAGAACACATATGAGTCAGGTGATAGTCCATGTTGGAAGGTAGGGAATGGGGACTTGGGGACGACAGAGGAGAGGTGGGCTCTGGGAGGAGGAGGCAGAGTGTTCATGACGATGAGAACAGAGATGGAAGAAGCTTGGCATCATCCCTCCCGCTCTCCTGATGCTCCTTTTGTTCCTCTGTTATGTGGGGCTAAGCCTTCTTAGCAGAGCTCCATTCTATTCCATTCTGCTCCATTTGAATTTACCCAGTCTATCTCAAGTCTCTGTTCCAAGCAATGGTAAATCTGGCAATTTTTGCCCTTTTCAACCAGTGAGGATACAGAGAACTAACAAGTGTTTTCAGTATGGTGTGACTAGGAAAGTAAAGGACTCCAAAGCTAATGGAGAAGCATCTAACTCAGATGAAGACATCTTCTCTGAAGAAACAGGTTCCATACTGGTACCTGAGGCTGCGTTTAGGGTTAGCCCAGCATTATGGGAATCGGGCTCAGTGGGGATTACAAGCACTGGGTATAACGGTCAGCTTTAATCGTCTACTTGACAGAACCCAGAATCACCTGGGAAAAGAGTCTCAATGAGGCATTGTCTGCATTGGTTGGCTGGTGGGAGTGTCCTCTCTGGGGATTGTCTTAATTAAGTTGATTGATGTGGAAGACCTAACCTACCATGGCAGCACCATGCTCTAGACAGGGGGTCCTAAACTATATAAGAGTAGAGAAATTGAACTTAGTACGGACAAGAGAGCAAGTGAGCATATGTGCACTGAGTTTTCTTTGCATTTGACTGTGGATGTGATGTGACTGCTTCAAGGTCCTTACTTTGATGGACTATAACCTGGAATTGTGAGCCAAGTAAGTCCCTTTCTCCCTAAAGTTGCTTTTTGTGTGGGTATTTTATCATAGCAACAGAAATTAAAGGACAGCATGCCGCTACTGTGCCTGGCTGTTTTATGCACATTCTGAAATCAGACTCAGGTCTTCATGTTTTCCAGTGCTTTACTGACTGAGCTGTCTCCTGCCCTTTTCATTTAGTTTTTACGACATAAAGGATAACTCTTAGCTGCATATCAGAGAACTATGAGCCTAGTCACTTCTTTGCAGCCTGAACAAGGGTCTTGATAACTGGAAATCACACATAAGCCAGGGAGTTTGTTCAACAAGGAAGTGCCCTTTGGCCTCAGCTGTGCAGTCTCCCTGGAGCTGTTGGCACTTACCTCAAGCTTCCCGGTTGTATCCTCTCTGTTGACATCATATACCACCACCAGCTCTCCATCTACTGCGGTCTCGGAGCAGTTAGAACATTTTCTTTGCTGTGCTACTGTGGGCTTGAAGGAGACATGGGCCTGGAAGGGACAGGGACATCAGAAGCTGGTCTTTGCGCCTGGCCCCTTGCTGTATGAGAGCTTGGAAGCTGCACCAACTCATGCACCCAGGACAACAGATGCTGCCTAGAGGCATGCAGTCAGCATCAGTAGGCCCATTCCTGATGGAAGTGACGGAGCCAGAGCTTTTGAGGGGAGCATCCCACAGACTGTGGTGCTGTTTGTCAGGTATCAGGTTTCTTTTTTCTTTCTTTTTTCTTTTTGAGAGAGGGTTTCCCTGTAGCCACAGCTGACCTGAAACTCACTATGTAGACCAGATTGGCCTCCATCACACAGAGATCCACCTACCTCTACCTCCTGAGTGCTGGGATTAAAGACATGTGCCACCACACCCGGCTGGGTATCAGATCTTTAATAAAAGAGATTTGGGAGCTGGAGAGATGGCTCAGCAGTTAAAAGCACTAGCTGCTCTTGCAGAGGACCCAGGTTCAGTTCTCAGCACCCACATGGTGGCTAACAACTGTCTATAACTCCAGTTTTAGGGAATCTGGCCCTCTTCTGGCCTCAGTGGGTTTTGTCTGACATGGATGCACTTACACACAGGCAAAACATTTATATGCATAAAATAAACTTTAATAAAAGAGATTTGGGAGCTGGAGAGATGGCTCAGCAGTTAAAAGCACTAGCTGCTCTTGCAGAGGACCCAGGTTCAGTTCTTAGCACCCACATGGTGGCTAACAACTGTCTATAACTCCAGTTTTAGGGAATCTGGCCCTCTTCTGGCCTCAGTGGGTTTTGTCTGACATGGATGCACTTACACACAGGCAAAACATTTATATGCATAAAATAAAAATAAATAAATTAGAAAAACAGATTCAGAACATTTCCCCCCTGGATACCATAGAAGGGATGGCTACCAGCTCAGGAAAGAGTTTATGAGGAGGCTTTAGTAGACTTTGGCCTTTTCCTTGCCAATGGCCATTAAGGAAAGAGAATTAAGCTGGG